TTAACCTCTGAGCCATCTCTCCAGCACCCAAACAAACAAATCTTTAAAAAAGAAATACTTTTTTATTACATTTTTATTTGTTTGGTAGCTACCATATGCATGGCACTGCACCTATGTGGAGGACAGAGGACAACTTTTGGGAGTTGGTTCTCTCCTTCTACCACACAGGTCCAATAGGGACTGAACTCAGGCTATCAGGCTTGGTGTCAGGTACTTTTTAGTCACTGAGTCATCTCACAAGCCCAAGAACTATTGTAAAAGAAACCCAACGCTCAATGATGTACAATCCATGATATAAGTTTTTGCTGGGCATACAATTTTTTTTTTTACCAGATGGACATATATCATAATCAGGAAAAGAATTGGTCAAAGGGAAGAAGCCCAGAGATGTCACAGATAGTCAGTAGACCAAAGTGTTTAAACACAAGTGTAAATAGGCCTCAGATGCATGCAAAGTAAAAGAAAGCATGAGTGTGGTGAGAAGTGGGAGATATTTTAAATGGCCTAAATGGATTCCCTCGGTGACAGAGTTCAGCATCTGAGGTTGCAAACATAATGGAGATAAAAGCAAAGGAGCCTGTGCTGGAGAAATGATCGATCTATGGACTTGCAAACAAAAGAAAGACTGACAGGAAGTGAAGACACCACTGGGCTACAGTGCACACGGAGCACTGGCCCAGCAGGTGTGATTTTCCCTGCTTTGATCCCCAGCACCAGAAGAAAAAGAAAACACAAAAATACAGCATCCACATGTGACAATGTCAAAAGCCACTTACCCTGAAATTCAGGAAGAATCAGAAAGAAGGGGACAGAAAGTTTGCAGAAATAATGAATAAAGTCTTTCCAAATTTAATAAAAAATCATAAGTTTACAGAAACAAAATTCTCCACAAACTCTAAACACAAAAGTACAAACTCATGCCAAGACTCTTCAAGGTCACATGACTAAGAAAACTGCTAACCTGGGCAGTGGTGGGGCACACCTTTAATCCCAGCACTCGGGAGGTAGAGGCTGCCAGATCTCTGAGTTCAAGGCCAGCCTGGGCTACAGATTGAGTTTCAGGACAGCCAGGGATACACAGAGAAACAAAAACAAAACAACAACAACAAAACAGAGATAAATTGAAAAATCACATAAAACAGCCAAAGAGAAAAAGATATGGTAGGCAAGAGGGGAGGAATGGCCAACTTCTCACTGAAAAGTTTAAAAGTTGGAAGAAAGAAAAGTTTTAAGAAAGAACAAAGGGGCTGGAGAGATGGCTCAGTGGTTAAGAGCACTGGCTGCTCACAGTTGTCTGCTACTCCCGTTCCAGAAGATCAACACCTTCATGCAGGCCAGTCCTTCAAAATCTCTGCTTCACAGAGCAGTCTACCAGATATTCTAGGCCTGTAGGCTGAAGCTGGATGCTCTAGCATAGCAAAGGAACCTTGGATGACTGTTCAGGAAGTCAGATGTCTTTGTCATTTCTATAGTTTTGGAATTTGTTTTCTCTGCTCTTCTTGTTTACTCAGGTAATATATCTTTCTTGGGTCTCTGATGGGGGCTGAAGACTAGATAGTTTTAACATTTTCTTTGTTATCAAATTTCAAAAAAAATTCTCACAAAAGATATGTAAAGTTTATAAAGGTTGAGAGACAAAAGCTTAAAGTGTTTATCTAGGAAAAGGTTTTAAGGTCTAAAAGGATATTTTTAGGTTGGTAATACAAGTTATGATAAAAACTGGTTTAGGTATAAAACTTTGAACTCACCAAGACAGGATAGATAGTAGAGTACTTTCTCCAAATTTGCCAAATATAAGTGGATTGAACACTGGGAATGTAATTCTTACCTGGTAATTGTTCTTACTGTATATAGTTTTACTATGTTAGAGTTAAAAACCTTTCCTTCTTATTTAGATAAAAAGGGGGAAATGTTGTGATGAAGGCACCTTCTGATTGGTTTAATTGAGAGCTGAATGGTCAATCACTAGGCAGGAGAGGATAGGTGGGACTTCCTGGAAGAGAGAACTCTGGGAAGAAGAGAGGCAGGATTTGTTAGTCTGACATGGAGGGAGTGGGACACAAGGTACTGAGCAGAGGTAATGAGCCACATGGCAGAACATAGATTAATATAAATGAATTAATTGTAAGAGCTAGTTGAGAACAAGCTAAAGCTAAGGCCAAGCTTTCATACTTAATAAGAAGTCTCCATGTATTATTTGGGAACTGGCAGTAAAAAGAAAGACCTGCTACATCTTTTAAAAATGTAAATGGATTAGACACCATAATCAAAAGGCAAGCTTTTCAGATCTAAGCATGATGGTACACGCCTGTAACTCCAGAACTGAAGCTTTTTTTTTTTTGATCATTGATCATTCGTATTTTTATATAATTTTAATATTAATGATGCATTTATTTTCATGTTATGTGTATTGGTGTTTTACCTACATGTCTGTGTGAGGATGTCAGATCACCTGGAACTGGAGTTATAGACATTTGTGAGCTGCTAAATGGGTATTGGGAATTGAACTCAGGATCTCTGGAAGAACAGTCAGTGCTCTTAACCACTGAGCCATCTCTCCAGCCTAAGGGAATTTTTCTTAATTAACTCATTTGAGTGGGAAGACCCAGTTCTAGTCAGAATTTTTGAAGTGAAGATACATCTTTGGTCCAGATCTTTTGAGGTGGGCCACACCTCCTGGAGGCAGCCTATAAACAGGACATGGAAGAAGGCCCTTGCTCTTTGCCTGCTTGCTCTGGTTCTTGCTGGCATCAGAGTCTACTTCTTCAGCATTCCGGCATATACTGAAGACCAACTGAGACATCTGGCCTCATAGACTGAACAGCTACTGGATTCTTGGACATTCATAGGCAGCCATTGTTGGACTGGTTTTATCACAGCCTGTAAGCCATTCTAGTAAATCCCCTTTCTATGTATAGAGTCATCCTATAAGTTCTGTTCCACTAGAGAACCCTGACTAATACAAGATCTTATATCAAAACAAATAAACAAACAAACAACAAAACTCCCACCACCCCTTACTGAGCAGCTATAGACAGTTGATGATTTCTGGGGAGGGAGAGGCAACTTTCTTTAGGGGTGTGGCTCCGGTTGCTGGACCATGCTCCAATGGCTGGTCCCACACCAGGAGTTTGTGGGAAGCACAGTGGGTTATTTAAATTAAAAAAAAAAAAAAAAAAAAAGGACATGAAGTTGGGGACTAAGGAAATAGAAAAGGGTCTGGGAGAAGTTAGAGGGAGAGTTGGGGTAAATGTGATCAAAGTACAGTTTATGAAATTCTCAAAAAATTAATAAAAATATTTTTAAATTATAATAGAAAAAGGAAGAGGAGAAAAACGAGATGAAGGAAGAATGGAGGGTGGGTGGAGGGACGAGAGAGGAGGTACTCAAGTCAAAGCCCCAACTTCCCAGAGTTCTAGGCCATTGGCTGAATCCACGCCCGCCCCCTTGCCTGAAGGGTCAGCGCAGCTCCAATCAAAATCTCAGAGGCGTTTTTAAAATTAGAAAATGACAAACTGATTCTAATTTTACATCTACATCAAATGAATTAAGAGGGCTCCGAGGAGCCAGTGCTGCCTTGCAAGGAGAGAACAAAGCTAGGGAATCTACCGCTTGGTTTCAAGACCCCGTGGACGCCCCAGCAGCAAAGTCCTGCAGCTGCCACTGTGGTGCACACAGCACACTGATGAGCACGGCCCAGCTCTGGGCTGGAAGTCATGTGGCAAACTGATTCTCCACCGAGGCACCGTGGAGATTTGGTGGGCAAAGGAAAATCTTTACAACAGTTTGCTCTGGAATAATAAGGCACCCAGCGGGAAAAATTACAATTCAACCCTTGCCCTCTATGTAAAAATTAACTCAAAATGCATCCAACACTACATACAACGCTTAAATTACAATAATTTTTCTAGACTTTAAAAAAATAAAAAGGCAAATGAGGCCAGAAAAATATCTCCGTGGCAAGAGCATCTAAGATCCAGACTCCATTCCCAGCACCCACATCAGGCCTGTAGCTCCAGCTCCAGGGGATCCAACCTGCCATTATTTTGATTATTTTTAAGGCAAATGATTGAAATCAACTCTTTGCCAAATGATGGAAACCAACTCTTGGCCAAGGAAGACAGAGATGGAAAATGTAGATGACATTGCTCAGGAGTTGACACCCTTGTGCCTCCCCCAGGATACTATGTGGGGGGACACTGTGGGGTGAGATCTCAGATTATTTGAGATTCAGACGAAGGTGGGTCCCCAGAAGAAGTTGAAGCCTCTTTTTCTCTCTCTCCTCTCTGGCAGCCCTTCACACACACACACACACACACACACAGAAAGAATAGCATTTCTGGGCCAGGTGGAGGGTTTTTACCAGCCACCAGACCTGCCAGCCACTCTATCTTACAAGTCCCAGCAGCCATAACTGTTCAACAGAACCTTTGTTATTTAAACTGCCTGGTCTGTGGTGTTTTGTTACAGTATCTGGAGTTGACTAAAACAGATTCTCAAAACCATCAGTCATTAGAGGAATAACATTTAAAATCACAGGGTGAGGTGAGATTGTTAGTATTCAGGCATCTGAAATGGCCTGCCCTTGGGGTTCTCACAGGATCATCCTCAGCTGCAGTCACTAAGAGCATCACCTGTGCACATTCACTACATTCCCTTTTAAAGGTCCCTGCCCCCCATCTTCCTCACTTTCTCTCCCTCTGCTTGTGTGTTCTCTCTCTCTCTCTCTCTCTCTCTCTCTCTCTCTCTCTCTCCTTTTCTCTCCCACTGCTCCTATCCCTAGAGGCCAGTCTCTCCCCCTCCCCTCCCCCACTTTTAAGATCCCTTTCCCCTAATTAAAAAAAAAAAAAAGGAACCTCTACCCAAGCTCTGTCCATTGAGTCTTTCTCTCATGCTGCTTTTTAAATTACAACAGAGATACCATCACATACCCTTTAGAATGGCTAACAATGAAAGGACAGATATTACCAAGTGTTGTCAAGATGCAGAGTCACTGAAGCTCTTGGGCATTGCACGTGGCAATGAAAACGGTATATTTACTTCCCCAAACCCTTTCACAGAATAAAATATACTATTCTATATGAATCAGTCATGTCAGTCACGGGTGTTCACCCAGGCAAAGCGAAAGGAAGTGCCCAGACAAAGACGTGAACATGCACATCAAATCTGAAAACCACTGGTAGCAACCCCCATAAACTACATAAAAACTAAACAGTAAAGAGAACCCTCAGGCTTTATAGGAAGCAAATGTGTGAATGGTTGATTGGCACCCACTGAGGGGCCTGTTACCAGCAAGCAGAGGGATGGGCTGTGGGGTCACTGTAGAGAGGGCAGAATGGTACCAGGGCAAAGAAACCCCACATGGAAGACTACTTCCTCCCTAATGCAGTTTCTAAAAGCTGTAGAAAAGACAAAATGACAGCAACAAAAAGTGGATCGGCTACTTCTAAGGTCAGAGCTCCGAAGGCTGGGACATCAGGTGACAGGTTGTTTCAGGGCGTGACCCTTCTGCAGGAGGTATATGATGACTGCATATGTTGGTCAACTGTTATTGAGTTGTACATTTAAACTGGAGCATGCAAGTTATTCCTCAGTAAAATTACAAAAGTCATTATCATTATGATTTAAGTTTGCTATCAGATGGGGGGAGGCATGGAAATGAGGACATGGAGGGGCCAGGTGGGCCAGCAGGCCAAGAGCTTAGGAGGTGAACATGGACACTGGCCACCACGGCTCAGGATGCTCCAGAGAGAACAAGGCCTAGAGGAAGGCCTTCATGGAGAGTTACCTGAGATAGAGGCAAATTGGCCCCAGCCACTGTGATGATGCCCCACCATGGGAGAGGGACATGTCCCAGAGGCAGCAGGACAGAGGAGATATCTGATGGGACCCCCACTGTAAGACTTATGAGTAGGCAAGGGGACAGGGGGATTGGAGCTGGATGGAGGGAAGAGTCTTTAGGGCCCTCACATCAGACACCAGTGCCCCAGGTCACTCCTAGCTCCACCCATTGTCTTGGGAGGGGTGGTCTGTCCTTTCCAGACTAGGCTCAAAGCAAAGCTGTTCTCTGTACCACCCCAGACCATCCCTACACCTGTGAATACATACACCCCTATATGTCTGCATCTCTGCACCCCAAGCCTTGCATTTCCAGCCACAGCTTCTCCTTCAGCTGGGATGGAACCAGCTCAGTTCTTCAGCTGTTTCTCTCTCTTTGCAGAAGACACAAAGTTTCACAGAATAGAATGCTCATGGCTCCTCGAAGATGACCAGAGATAGCCTGAACCCAGGAACCAACCACAGGCTTCTTCGCTGGGGCTTGGAGGTGAAGTTCAGGATTACAGCAGTAGGGATAGCCTGGCCAGGATCCTCTGACAAGAAACTGAATTCAGTTCTCCCTCATGGGGCTCCAGTCTTTGGGTGATGACCTTGGGCCAAGTGGAAAGTAGACAGCTGGGTGGACCGAGGCCATCAGCCTTAATACCAAAGAGCCTCTGGCTGGGGAAAGTCAGCTTAGGGGGGGTGGGGGGACAGCCACCAACTGTCCAGGTATAGCCATAGTAGTCAGACTGGGGGCTGCAGAGAGCTGGTCTAGCCTGGGAACCAAAGTCTTTTCACCAATGTTAAAGGCTCATTCTGGACTCACAGGAACCCAGAGCACCCCCCACACCCACATAGAAATACAATTTATACAGCTGTCAAAATACACTTCACTTCGGAAAGCAGAGGTAGGTTCAGAAGGGATCCCCGTCTGGTGGGGTCAAAGATATCAGTCCATGAGTGCATGTGAGCAGGATAGGTGTGGGAGGGAAGAATGCCACCAACCCACAGGAACAAGGCTGGGGTGGAAGGATCCGGGACCGCTGGCCCTCCAGGGGTGGAAGGTCCTGAGAAATGGCTTGGGGAGGCAGGCAGAGCTGACTAGGTTGGGGTATCATGGAATGAGCCAGTGCCCTCTGCCCTTGGTGCATGCTTCTGGAACAGGCTGTAGAGTATTCTCAGTGTGCCCTTGGTGCATGCTTCTGGAACAGGCTGTAGAGTATTCTCAGTGTGCTCTTGGCGTCCTTGTTCACAATATCTGTGGGGAGAGGGAGCAAGGCAGCCTGTCAGGCTAGGCTAGGGAGGACCATTTGTCTCCAGGGATGGAGGAGGGTCCCTTCTCTTATCTGGGCTTCCCTTGCATCCATGCCCCACACACACACACACAGTGACTAGATGTGTGGCTGCTCTGAACACTCATTCCCAGGGACTTCAGTCTTATAGACATGGTGGCCACAGCACCCCTCCTAGAAAACCTCACAGTCAGTATCTCTTTATGAACCAGCAAGCAAGGGGACTCTACTAGCAATGCTTGTCCCTCCACTCCCCACAACTGCCCTCAGTCACATCCCAGGCAAGTAATGCAGGCAATGGACAGCCATGAACTCACCTTCTGGGTTGACAGGGTAGCTGAGTAGACCTTCATCCTTCAGCAACTCCAGGGCTAAGGTGACATTGTGCAGCTATGATGATAAAGCCAATCAAATGTCAGCCCATGGTACCCTGGGTCCAGGCACCAGGCCCGTGCTGTCACCAATGGCATCTGTCCTTGCCCACGCAATGTTTGAATCCCTGAACCACAACAGCAATCAGGGCTCACCCAGTATCTCCTTCCATGCCCTGTGAATAGAGAGCTCACACTCCCTCACACAGACACCCCCATCCGCATACACCTCAGCAGATGCCACACGATGGACATGCACAATCAAGTAGACAGTGCTAATGGGAAAGACCACAGAAAGAGTCTGTGAGAGAATGTGTGTATGTCAGGGCATGTTCTGGTGGGGGTGACACTCTGCATGTGGGTCTGCCAGGTGAGGGGACTTTGTCTCAGACGGGAGCCAGGGCTTGTAGGTGGTAGAGCCCCCAGAAAGTGGTAGCAATCTTTCTCTGCTTGAAGGGCAATCAGAGGAGTAGGGTTATGATGTGGGTCACTAGCCCGCAGCTCTACAGGGCGAGCCACCCTCAGAAAGATCCAGACCAAGAGGGAAGTAGGCTGAGTAAATGCCTGCCAGGCTCCAAGATTTCAGTCTTGCTCTGTAATTCAGGAACACAATTCATACCCCCTCTTCCTAGGATACAGAAGGAAGGGCCAGGGAGGTCAATGCCAAGGGACCTGGGAGAAGCTTCGTCCAGGGGCCTGCTGAGTGCCAGGGAACCTCTGAAGAAATGAGAAAGGAACAGAGCTGGCAGCTAATGAAACATCTAGCAATGTCAGGGCAGGTAAGGCCAAGATGCCTGATGCTGAGTTCTGGCTTGTAATACAGCAAGACAGGCAGAAAATACAGTAGGTGGAAAGTAAAGGAGTATGGGAAGGAGGTCCAGATTGGGGAGGTAGCAGGCCCCTGGGAGGACCCAGCCTGCAGATGACACACGCAGGGACACATTGGGCCCAAGAGGGGAGGGACAGACATCATGACTGGGATTTTACTTCAGAAGGAGAAATCCCAGGACCTGGGGTAGGGGACAGAGTGGAAACAGGTTAGCTGGGTCCCAGGCAGGCCACTGACTGTGTCCACTCTAGCTCATCATCCCTCTCAAGGGTTACCTGAAGCTTGGAAGAATACAGGAGCCACAGAAAGTGCAGGGCAGGGGCCAGAGATGTGCCGCTCCAAGCTTCCTCCCCCAATAGCTCTCCTGCTACTGCTTACTTCCTGGTCTCCACACAACCCGACAGTAAGCAGGAAACCCATTTCAGAGAAGAGAAGCTTGAGACCAGCAGTAGAGAACCTGGACTTTGACCCAACAGGAAGTACTCCTTCCATTGCTGGGGTCCTTGTTTGGAAGGTGGTGGGACTCTTCTCCCTGGGCAGGAAACCTCTGGAAAGGGCTTCTTCAGGGAAGAGCCTGGACCAGAGCCCAGCAGAGACAAGTAAAAAGTTTGATGCAAAACCTGGTAGGCAGAGAGGGAGCAGAGGGAGGGCGCTAGGGTCCCTGTGGGAAAGGCAGGGAGGCACAGCCAGCAGCTCATGGTACACATTTGGAAGGAGCACATCCTGCCACTCACTCTCTTAACTTTCTGGCCTGTCACTCCCCATCACTCCTCTTGGGGTCAAACTTAACTTCCTGCCTACATTAAAGCTGTGTCTTTTGGCAGCTCCAGGCTCCAGGGTCCACGTGAAATGACTTGCCTACCAGACCTTCCCTGTGGCCATCATGAGCCACAGGCCATTCCCCAAAAGTGTTCCCGAGCCTCTGCTGGGTATGCTTCCTCATTTTGAGGTACCCTTTTTCCTGTAGTCTGTAAAACAAACCCCTATTATCACCACTCTCTGGCAGTCTCTGCCGGGCACACCAGAAGCCAACGCCCTGCCTTGATGTCCTAGAACTCCACAATCCTGGGAGCACAGCTGGCAGAGGTGAAGGACCTTGAAAGCCAGAGTTGTGAGGGACAATACTGTGTCCTGGGCAGTGTGGCTTGTCATGAAGCAGACCCTTGGAGAGTGGGGAGTCTAGTGCACTAGTGGATGAGTGGGTGGGTGAGAGGGTAGTTAGGTGATTGAGGGAGGCAGATGGGTAAATATGTGGACAGACAGGTAGGTGAATGAATCGATGGATAGATGTGTAGAAAAAAGATGGATGGATGGATGGATGGATAGATGGATAAACAGGTACATAGGCACTGGAGGAGTGGATAGGTAGACAGGTGGATGGTGTCAATTGATGAGTGAATGGATGAATAGATGGATGGATGGATCTATGGATGGATAAATAGATACATGGGTGTTGGAGGGATGGATGGGTATATTAATTGGTACTTTGATAGGTAAGAGGATAGTGTCAATGGGTGGGTAGATGGACACTTGGATGGGTGGATGAATGGGTGGGTTACTGAATGGGTGAATGGATGGATAATGGACGAATGAGTGAAAGGATAAATAAGTGGGTAAATAGGCATATGAACAAACTTTTCTTCCACCTTCCTCACAGCTTGGAATTGAATAAAGACTGTCAGGCCAATGTCACAAATCTATCCATCCACCCCCCAAAAAAGCCATGGAGGAAGACCTTGGAAGCTTACCATTTCTATAGGAGAGCTGGGAGTGAGATAGAATTCCTTCAGATGCAGAAAGAAGCCTTCCAGCTGTCCGATCAGCAGAAGTAGGATGACCCCATCTGCAAACTACAGTTGTTGTGTTTCAGTCCTAACCATCCCATCCCCATTGCACACTATGAAAGCTTGCTTGGTCCCCAGCTGGACACTTTGCCTGTGGGGTCTGGCTATAGGAAGTAGATTACTGAGGGTGGGTCCTTGGAGGGTACAGTCTCCCTGGTCCCTTCCTGCTGGGCTGTTGACTTCCTGTCCACCAGGATGTGTACAGCTGTCCTCCACCAGACACTCCTGGCATTTGTCACAGTGACATAAAAGGAACTAACACACTAAAGAAAGGAACCAGGGCTCCCATGTGGGAGAGGCTGACATCGGAGGGGTTCCATTCTGCTTTTTACATGTAGTATGAGTTGAAGGACATTGGAGCACCTCTCTGAGCCTCACATTCCTTCCAAGAAGTGGGGATGGCATTCCCAGAGACATGGGGTTGTCAATAGCAGCAGGAAGCAATTTGGAGCTGTCTGGCTCTTAGAGTACATTCAATTAGAAGAGCTGTTTCTAAAATTTCTATGGAATAGTCTCATGTTTCTGTCTCTACCTCTCCCTCCCCCTTCTGCTCCCCCCTCTGTGTGTGTGTGTGTCTTCATGAGTGTGCAGGGATGTGTATATGTGTAAATACCCATGCACATATATTCATGTGATGTAGAGGTCAAAGAACAACTGGAGCATTTATTATTCCTTAGGAACAGCACTTATTTGGGGGTGGGAGGGTGCAATCTCTCACTGGCCTGGAACTTTCTTAGTGGACTAGACTAGCTGGGCAGCATACCCCAGCATCCACATGTCTCTGCCTATGCAGCACTGGTTTAACTATGTGTGCTAGGACCTGGAGACATGGATCAGCAGCTAAGACCACACAGCAGCTCCTGCTCCCAAGCATCTGTAAATCCAGTTCCAGGGAGTCTGACACCTTCTTCTGGCCCCTGTGATAATCACACACACACACACGTGTAATGCACATGCACACCTGCTGGCAAGCACTCATAACTGTAAAAAAAAGAAATGCGTGCCATGGCACCCCAGGATTCTGACTTGCCAGGCAAGCACTTTAGCAGCTGAGCCACCCCCATCGTGTCCGTTTTTAAATGACAAGTTATTCCATGAGCTACAGACACATGTGTGAAAACAGAGTTAGTATAAAATTCTCCCATCAGGACAGGCAGAGAGGAGCACACAGGCCCATTAATATTTCTGTCTGTTCTGTCTGCATGCTCTGAGATAACTCTGCCGTGAGCATGCCATATGCTAATGTAATCCTACTGAATCTCTTCAAAGATACAAAGCACAAGATTGGATGCTGCAGAGAGACGCTGTTCTGCCTTTAATGGAATTTCCCCCGATTAAGTCTGTTCGGATGTTATTAGTTTGGGTGTGGAAGCTTCTCTACTGCTGTCCTCAAAATGTAGCTGGGAAAACCTAACTCGGAGTCCTCCTCTACCATCCTAACATGTCTAAATGTCACCCGTGCTCACTCACTCTTGTTTTACCAAAGGAGGGAGGGACGAGGGAAGTGAGTAAACCTGAGATGTCCTCCTGTGTCTCCTCACAGAAAATACAGTCAGAGGTGGGCGTGTTGCTTGGGGAAAGCAACGGTGAGTCAAATGACAGATATTAAATGACAATAAACAGCAAGGCTCCTGGGCTCACAATTTCAAGAAGTAAAATGGCTCCCATTTTATTAAGTGAGGTGCCTAAGGTTCAGAGAAGTCCAGTAATTCACCCAAGGTCACACAGCCATGTGGGAGTGTCGTCAGAGCCCGGGGACACAAAGGGGCAGGCACAGGATGGAAACATACAGGCATATGGCCCTGAAGCCTATGTTTCTACCCCATTATGTTGCCACAGTGCTTACAAAAGCTCACATGACCACCCACCATGCACAGTGGCTATGAGCATATACCAGAACCCCAACTGTCTCAGTCCAAAACCTAAGACAACACCTTAATCGCTGTGCAACCTTAGGTAAGTGCTTAGCCTTTCTGTGTCTTAAAAGTCTCGCCTATTGAATGGGGTTTTATCAGTTCTCACATGAGGTGTAGGGGGTGGGAATTGTAGAGCTGATGGCAGGAAAATCTTGGCTCCAAGCAGAATAGGTACCAAGAACTCGGGAATATGTGGCCTGACCCTCCCTAACTAACAGCCACCCACGTGTCCCTGAGAAGACAGAAGCTGTGACCAGTTCTACATAGGCCTTGAGACATGGCCAATACCCATAGTCTATGGAGGTCTGCCCAGTGTCCACCAGACCCCATCATTACCCCCACAGGGCCCAGGCAGTGTCAGATCTCTGCATCTCCATCCTCTTGTGTTAAGGAACCCTGCAGACACAGTGGAGTCTCCATGGAAGACATGAGTAGGCGAGGCACTTTGGATCCCCAGGTTTCTGCTCCTACCTTAGGACAGTTAAGTTTGTGTCCTCACAGTGGGCTAGGACCTTGCAGCTCAGGACAGAGTCCACTGAGGGTGGTACTGAGTCAGCATCTCCTGGCACCAACCTCAGAAATGGACCCCTCGTGAATCTCAGCACTACATCTGAGTAAACATGATCACAGGGGAAGGCCCTTGCTCTGGCTTCAGTATGCCCTAGAGTATCCCATGCCCCAGGAGTCATTCTGATAAATGAGTAATAATGAAGCCAGCAGTAGAGATGGCTCAACCTTCCTAGCTCCCCACAGGCCCCCAGCCCAGTAGTTCCAGGGGCTCCCTGTGGCAATGCTGCCTGCTAGTAGCACACCCCACTAGAGAGGGCCCTGAGATCTCTGAAAGTGATGCCTCACTTTCAGTCACACAGTAAGTTTCTGGGGCCCAGGAGCCCTCGTCCTAGGTGGGGACCCAGAAGAAGCCATACCTGTGTGTCCAGACTTTGCACAGACAGGCCCAGGTTCTCCACCTTTTGGTTGACAAAGCTCACAACTGCCTAAGACAAAAGAGCAAGAACCTCAAGACCACCCTCATGCCACCTTCCACCCTGGGGTGACAGAAAGTCTCCCATTCTATCAGCCAGCACCCAATTGGTGTGGAATGAGATCCATGTCCTCTCCCATCACCTGGAGACACAGGCAGGTAGGTGGTGGGCACGGGAAGCTTTGATCTCCCATACCTCTTTGACGGCATGCACTTTCTCCGGAGCCAGCTTAAATAATTCATCAAAGGTGTCCTCTGCAGACCAGAGCAATAAACAGCTCATTACGATGCTAATATCTTTGCTCCAAACAGAATGTTTTCACACAAAAGTTTCTCAGAAAAAAACAGTCCCATGGGAGTCACAGCTTGATCTTCCAGTTCCTGAATGAAATAGGCCTGGGTCCGGGACACATGGCTTCCTGGCTGGGGGATGGGGCGGGGGGGCGTGGCTTCCCTCTCTGTACCTCAATTTCCTCATCTCTGTGAATGATGCTTGCTAGATGCTAGGCTGGGTTATCATGGGCTATGAGCATGCCTCTCGGTAACTGTAGTGGGATAAGTGGTCAGGTAGGTAGAAGATGGTTGAGTAGATATACATCTGGCTGACTTGTGTATAGATGGATGAATGGATAAATGGATGTCTGTGTATGACAGATGGATATATATATATATGAATAATGGATATGTGTATATATATATGTATGTATATGAATTATATATGAATGAGGATGTGTTGTGAGATGGATGGATATATAGTATTTATGAATGGATGGATGGATATATAGATGGATCATTGTATAGATATATAGTTGGATGGATGATCGAAAGATGAGTTGATGGGTAAATAAATGGATAACTCAAAGAAGGGACAAATGAGTGAATAGTTGTGTGTCCAACTGAGGAATGGGTAAATGAAAGGGGTAGCAGCTGGCCCTGACTGGTGAACTGCTTGTCACATTAGCAGCAGCCATGTAATTGCACACCCAAAGATTACATCCTTTAGCCCTTACACCAGCTTAAGAGGTGGGTTCCACATGAAGGAACTAAGGGCACAGACAGGTTAAGGTACCTACCCATGCCTACGTGGCTAATGAGTGAGGGAGTTAGCAACATTTGGCATCACCACCTTTCTGCCCTCATGGTGTGGACTGTGGGTCTCTCCCCATAAGAACAGTACTAAGAAGCCAGCTAAAGGCCAGGCTGACAAAGGAAGGACAAATTCATGAACAAATCCTGCCACAGGAGAGTAGCAGACCACAGTGGAAACGGTTAACCGCTCCATCACAATTCCTTTGACATCAAGAGAAGGGAAAATTTTTGCTTCAGTTACTAAGTTACTTACGTGAAGGCTGGTCCTTGTGTGAGCTAGAGGAGAAATTGCAGAAGACAGAAAAGCAATCAAAGAGTTAGCAAAAGGTCTGCAGCTTTCTCATCACCTAATGTAACAAGCGTGGTACCAGCAGGTGGCGAGGAGATGGGCTCATTTTTTTTTTTTCTGGGCAATCAAGGCAGAGGAAATCAGGGCTAAGTGTCTGGCAGCCTAGCCCTGCACACACACACATCTCAGAACACTTGGATTCTGTGGGGCTGGGGATGTCGGCTAGGTGGGGGTCCCTGCATAGGGCTTGGGGTGTCTCTGCAGCCTTCTGAGGATCAAGCAGCAGCAAGCACAGCGAGGGTCCAGCACCCCCTGCACCTCCCACCTGACCAAGGCTACCCTCACCTGCATTCTTCTGTGAGCTGTTCCACCAGCTTGTCTGACTTCAGGCCAGCCTTGGTGCTCTACAGCAGGGAAAGGGAATGGTTTGACTCCAGAGAACCCCAGAACCAAGTCCACAGGGCCAAAGCAGAGTAAGAGAACCCAGTATACTCTGCTTTGCCACTATCTCAGGATGCTGCTGTGGGCCAGCTTCATTGTCCATTTTCCCTGTGATTACTGAACCCATGAGGATAGCACTGTGGATGCCTCATTCCAAAGCCATCCAAGAGGGATGCATGTGTATTTGTGTGTGTAAATGAGTATGTGTTATTTGAATGAACACACAATGGTTAAATCTGATTTTTTCCCATTTTTTTAGTATGTATGTGCATGCTTTTATGTGCACCTATGTGTGGGGCAGTATACACATGCCATATTGGACATATGAAGGTCACAGACAAGTTTTAGGAGTCAATTCTCCCTTTCTACCATGTGGGTCTCAGTAATTGAACTTGTGTTGTCAGGCTTGACAGCAAACACCTTTACCTGCTAAGTTATTTTGTTAGCCTTACCTGATTTACATAAGTTTGAGAAAGCCATGAAACTGCTCAGTAGTGAATTTTAAACAAATACTTGGGAAAGGTGGTAATGGGTTTGACAAGGCCCAGCTAGATACAGTTGGTTTCATAAGGCAAGTAGAAAGAACACACATGCATGCATGAATGTGTGTGTGTGTATGTGTACAAACACACACACACATACACCATAGAACACAAACTAGTACTGCCAGAGAGAAAAGGTTTCTCAGAAGAGGAGACAGTATGTGGTGATGGATGATAGATGAAAGACATCATACTGAGAATGGTCTTGGAGAGATGACTACCTATGACCCAGGAAATATGATGGCACCAGCTGACCTCTCTGTTGTCATGCCTGTCCCTGCCTCTGCTAGGCAGAGCTGGCTGCTGAGAGCAGTACTGGCTGGCCAGGGCCCACCTTGTTTCTGCCAGCCCAGTCCTCAACTGGCATATGTGATATTCCCCATAGATCACTGGAGCCACTCCACTTTGTATAGATGCAAAGACCCCCTATAGATGCAGTGGCATGGAACAATATGTTCAGATGACCCACCCCTTCCCACAACCTCACAAGTACCTCAATGTGGATGACTTCCACCTGGACATTGTCTGGAAGGGGCAGGTCCGGCTGGAAGTGTTTGACCAGGGCCACCAAGAGATGCAAGGTGGCCAGCAGATCCTTGTTGAAAATGGCTAAAGAGAAGACAGAAAGTCAGAGAGCTGCGGGGCCACCAAAACCTGCAGACACTCTTAGAACTGTACTGTGCAGACCACTGAGGTCAGAATGTGTGTGTGTGTGTTTCTGTCTGTCTATCTCTCTATCCCTCTGTCTCTGTTTCTCTGTTTAGCAGACTGTATGAAGGGTGGATGGGAAGCATATGTACACAGCACACTCATTTGTTGACAGGCAGAAAATTAATGAAGCCAGACTATGAGTGCCATTCAACCAGGCTGAGAAGTGTGGTATGTTCTTAGACTCAGCTGTGGCTGTGTCCCTGGGAAGCCATTGTCCTTTTACTGCACTGACTGCAGTGATATCCCCTAGGGCCATGTGTGTAAGTCAGTTTCTTTCCCACCAGACATCTGACTTTGTGTCCAGCTTGTGCTCACACTATGGGCTGCCTGAAGCCTCTCTGTCCTTCCCAGCCCCTCATGGTTCTTGGGTAGATGAGTGTGTTTCTTATCAAGTGCAGATGGTCCCACCTCCCCTCCCAGGTACCAGCCTGGCTCAGCCCCACTTACTCTCCACACTCCACTTGGCCTGTTGCTCTTCAACCTGAAGACTCTGGTTGACGGCCTCCAAGATGACCCCTAGCTTGCGCCTCTGGCTGGCTGAGGTCAGAGAGATTTCTTCCACTTCCAGCTTGAGGGCTGCCAGCTTCTCTGGAAGCAAAAGAGCAGTAAGGGCCAGGAAGTGCCCAGTAGCTTTCACAGGGACCCTCTTCCATGAAGATAATGCCACCCTGTTAGAGTGGGATACTTGATGCTGAGCCCTGGGCAACCCCAGAACCCTCAACCAAACACACTCATTATCCAAGAAGCCCCCATCTGTTGTAGAATATTATTTTAAGATGTGTTACATTTGTTTATGCTGGGGAACATTTGTTTCATGATGCAAAGATATACTGCAATCCCCTAAGTTGCATTTGTCTAATTCTGTGAAGCTGTGTTACTCTGCCTGTGTAAAACACATGATTGGTTTAATAAAGAGCTGAACGGCCAATAGTTTAGCTGGAAAGGATAGGTGGGGCTGACAGACAGAGAGAATAAATAGAAGGAGAAAAAGAGAAAGAGGAGCAAGAAAAAGGGGAGGACACCAGGGACCAGCCACCCAGCCACACAGCCAACCACGGAGTAAGAGTCAAAGTAATATTACAGAATTAAGAAAAGGGAAAGCCCAGAGACAAAAGGTAGATGGGATCATTTAAATTAAGAAAAGCTGGCTAGAAACAAGCCAAAGCTAAGACCAGGCGTTTATATTTATTTGGGAGCTGGTTAGCAGGCCCCCAAAAGAGCCAAAAGAGAAAAAACAAAAAGTCGAAAACCAACTACATCCATCCACATGGAAAATAGGCCAATGGGGCACATGGAGCATGTATGTGAGCTAGTTGCAACCTTTTGTGCCATCCCCTCTGACCCACCTCACCTTGACTATTCTACCCACACCTTGTTCTGCACTGCTGGGCCATGCCATTCCCACAGGGCAGCAACCTGCTGTCTCCACTGAGAAGTGGGCATATCATTCTTGGTCTCATCCATAGCCAGGAAGAGGAACAGTAGTGAGCTATGCAGAAAGCTGATAGTGCCTGCTCTCTGAGAAGTACCCAGAAGCCTCAGCAGTGGCTGAAGGATCACTCTGGAGCCCATATGCCAAGCTCTACAGAATAGTGGCTTGAGGTGGCTCTGAGAATATGGATCTGGTCCCTGTTGGTTACAGGACCTTTTTCCTTACATAAGACATCTGCGGACCAGACGTGGGTAGAAAAACCATCCAGAAGCAGAAACTTGGCTTGACTTTGTACATCTCTTCCAGGCACACTGGGATCAGCCAGATAAAACCATCCCTGCCTCTGCCTCTGGAATGTCCCACACAGGATAGCCTGGGTCTTTCCAGCAGCACAGGACACTCTGAGGTCAGGGACAGTTAATGCCCCAGCTCCTAAAATCATCAGACACTTCATAAATGCTGGATAGGCTACATTGTGGCAGAAAGGGCAGCAGCCCAGCATCAGACACTGGCTGGAACCATAACTCTACCCTGCCATGCTTGAGTGCGGGCAGGGCCTCCACTTCGGCATCTCTACAATCTGGAAAGCCATAAAGGGGTCCCTTTCCCTGGGGGGCTGAAGCAGGAAGTCACTTGAGGGGTCAAGCGGGGGACACGGCTCCAAAGCCCCAGGAACAGCTGTTTAGGAAACACAGATGGGGTGAGGTGGAACCTGGGCCTCTGCTTACGGAACAGGTGGTGCAAAATGAGTCCATCGAACATGTCCTCCTCCAGGCTGCGGACAACAATGTGCTCTGGGAGAAGTGTGGTGTTGATCCACTCCATCAGCACCTGCCGGTCACAAGGGGCAGCTGACAGGTAGGAGTCACCTGCCCAGGCTCTCATCTCAAGCCACAGTGACCTCTTCTACCTGCCAACTACTACCCACTCTTCAAGGCCTGGCCAAGTGGTGCCTCTTCCAGAAAGTTCTCCCTGGCCATGTGGAAGGAACCAGCCCTGAGCTCCCAAAGACGCTCCTCCCAAGTTCTTCCAGACACCTGCCTGAACCCTGAGGGGCTGTCATCCTGGTATGTGTTGTTTTGGTACCTGGGAGTTGTCACCACTGTAGCAAATACCTAAAACTGGGACATGGCTGTGGAAATGGATGATGGCAATGACTGGCAACAGGCACTCGGTTACACAGCCTAGACTGCCTCCAAGAGAGGGTTGTAAAAACATGGAGGCCACAGGTGATTTGGGTGACATCTCAGATGAAGGTAGGGGTGTGATGCTAGAATGGAGGAAGGTGATGCCAGGGTTGGGTGTGGACAGGGGCATGGTGTCCATAAGCCAGGGCACCACGCCTGGCTCCAGAGATTCAGGGCTGGGCATGATAGTGTACCTTCTGTAGTTCTTCAAACTTAGGGTCCTTCCGAGAATTGGGGGGCAGGTATTTCTTCTTTCCTCCTGGAAGCAGAGGTGTGTATGATGTGAGTACCCTGAGGGCCCCTGGAAGCTATCTCATTGCAGGTCACCCACTGAACCAGGCCCTGGGGGGAATCCTAGCCCACCTCTCACTCATACTTCCTCATGAGCGCTGGGAGTGCACACTTAAGCTCAGAGATCACCCCTTACCCTGAAGGTCACGAGGCTGATGTGCAGCATCACCTAGAATCCCTATCTACACCTGCCCAGAGTGGAGGCATAGCCGAAAGGAGCAAAGGACATGCCAAGCTGTGGTGGGCATCACCTATGCTGCCAAACAGCTCTGGCCAGGATGTAGCACCAAGGTCCCCTGTGCCCTCTTTGGCTTGGCCACTCCCTTCCCTGAGGCCTTGGTCATCAGGGCCCCCACATTTTAAATTCATAGAACCCACAAAGCATCAGGCCCAGAGGGACTTTGTAGGTCAGCTGACCTCAATGCACATGAAGAAACTGAGTTAGCACATGCTCATAAAATACAACCTGCCATGCCACCCACCTAGATGCTACATCTCCCAAAACCTTAGAGTAGAGGCAGCCATGACTGGAGAACAAACAGAACACTGCACTCACGGCTTGGAGTCGACTACTGATAACATGAGTGAGTTAGTGCATGAATAGGAGGAAGAGAAGGAAGAAGTAAGGGAGAGGAAGGAGCAGGGATAGAAGGAAGGAGAGAGGGGTAAATATGTGAATGGATGAAGGATGGATGGATGGTTCATGGATGAGTGAGTGGACGAAAGGAGAGGGTGATGGTACATGGATAGATAGATGGCTACATGTGCAGTGTCCAGGGACAGCCTGCTCATTCTAGTGAGAGAGTCATACACTCTCTCCCTCCCCTGATTCAACAACCATTGTCCCACCAGGGCCAGCACCTCGTGGGAGCTCCTCCTCCATGGGCTGATCCACCTCCTTTGGGAGCTGCAACAGGTTGTAGAGGGGCTCTGACTCCATCTTCTCCTGTGCCTTCCCTGGAGATGACAGGCGATAGAGTGCATCACTGTCCCCAAGGCCCAGACTCACCATGCACTCATTCTTTCATTCAGACTGGTAGAGATGGAGGATGGGAGCGTGACCCTGAATGAACAAACTTTGAAGAGCCAAGCAAGGGTGAGGGGAGAGGCCTGGTGTGGAGCCTTGCCTTGCAGGGGTGGAGACGGTGCCAAGCTGTGATGATTAACCTTGGTTGTCACAGGTCAGACTCCAGACTCACCTGATGGATAGGCAAGGCTCTGGCCATGCCTACATTCCCTCAGTGTAAGAGGGACAGGACCATCCCAGGAGCTGGTCCTGGGCTGAATGAGAAAGGAGAAAGGGAGCTGAACACCATAATCTGTCTCACATCTTCTTGATACATTTTGACCAGCTGCCTTGTGCCCTTGCTGCCATGGCTTTCCGGTCAAGAAGGGCTATACCCTCAAAGTATGAGCTAACGAAGCCCTCCCTTCCTTCCTTGCGTTCCTTTTACCAGGGTATTGCATTAATAATACACAGGCTGAGGGCAAAGCCTGGGTAGAGGCTTGGTGAGGAAGTGGGTTCCTTGTCAGCCAGCCACACAGAAGCCTGCCCACACTCCTGGCCAGGAGACTCACTCCTCTCTCTGAAGCCAGGACACACAGACTCTCTCTCAGGACACAGCCAGCTCCCACAGAACCTCAGACAAGTGTGGGAGGAGAACCCTGTGTCAATCTGTATCAAGATGAGCACCCACTAGTGGGGTGAAGTAGACACCCATCTCTTCAGGTCATTCCCCTGAATTCAAGACCAGACTTCCTCAGCTGTGGATGGGGTGGCCAAAGCCACCCAGACCTGTCCCCCATTCCACGCTGGCTTGGGTTGCAGAGGGAGACTAGCCCATCTGGCCTCTAATTCTGAATGAGGCTTTCTCAGATTGACTTGGCACCCCCAGACTTGGGGTGTGGTCTCTTGGGGCTTTCACTCATGATGCCCAGAGAACACTGTTCTTGTGAAAAACAAGCAGTGTCCCCACCCTATCCCTGACTCACAAAGGGCAGTATCAGGCCTGAGACAGCACACTCCCTGCTCGGACTCATGATGGGCAGCGTCAGGCCTAAGACTAGCAATATTTGTGCTGCCCACCCCCAGCCTCATGATGGGCAGTGCCAGGCCTGCCCCACGCCCAGAGGGGATCAGACTTAGAAGCTAATGGCCTCCTTCTGGTTCCCTAACCTACCTGTAGTTCGACTGCCCACTTCCCCTCTGTAGCTTTCCCTTGTTGCACGGCCACCTTTGACTCTCCCTTCTGTCTCTCTTTCAGTCTCTGCGGCTGCCCCATATTTCTGGGATCCCTCAGATATTTGAGGTCTGGGATCAAACTAGAAGAAGTTCAAATAAGGAGCCCCAGAGCTGTGTGGAGGGAGAGGCACTGCTAGGGCCTGGGGGCCACCTTCCTCAAACTGGCTGTAGCCTGGGGACCTTAAGAAACTCAGCCCTACTCTGAAGCCAGAAGCAAGAGGACAGAGGAACCTGGGAATGAGTCCCAGGCCTCAGGAACGGAAGAAGAGGCAAGCCAGGCTCGCTCAGCCTGAGTGACTATAGGCCAGTCTGCTTCCTCTTTGCCCTGATGTATCTTTACAGGAAAAAGGTGGACCCTGTGTCTAGCCAAGCACACACAGACCTGAAACTGCCTCTGGTGGCCAGTCCCAGATGAGTCCCTTCCCTGTCCCATTCAACAGTTTCTTCATGGTCAGGGAGCTCGGCTTTCTCCTTATGCAGTGACTCTCTGAGGAACCCTGGTCCAAAGAACTGCAGTAGGAGAGGTAGGCAGGGCTCTTCTGTATGGACAGGGTTCACAGCTCCCCCATAAAGTAACTTGATAGCCTCAGCAACATGGCAAGACTCAGGGATCCCCGTTTACAGACCCCCTTACCAGGAGGTCCCAGATGACATGTGGCTCTGGGTTCCTATTCACGGGGCATCTCTGCCTTCCTCCTTGAGTGCCAGTACCCACTCAGGCATGTGAACAGATAGAAGATTCTAGTAGGTCAGAAATCCCACAGGCCAAAGGCCAGCTGCACTCACCTGCCACTTCTTTTCACACCAGGAAATGAAGCCCACTAACACAGAGGGTGACCAGGTTCCTGAGAGAGACAGGTTCCGGGTCCGGAAGTGGAAGGCAGGGCTTCTGCTCACTTCCTCTGCCACCCTGGTGGCTGCAAGCAGCTTCCTCCTCTGAATTGATGGTGAGTGAAGTGCCCTAACTCCACTGAGAGACTACCAGAGGCCCAGCCCCTGCCCTGTCACCCAGTCTTCCAAGGCTCAAGGGCATCTTATTTCCTTCCCTGCCTTTGCCTCTCCATGTCCAAACAATGGCTGTCTGAGCAGAAAACCATAGCAAGCAAATGGTGAGCTCTCCACCACCTTGGTTCTCACAGTGCCCAACCTTCACCCCTGGCTCCGCCTACACAACACACTAACCAAGCAGGTCCCAGGGCTGTCCATGAACCTGCTTTTGCTTGCTTGCTTGCTTGCTTGCTTGCTTGCTTGCTTGCTTGCTTGTTTGCTTGGTTTCTTGATTACAAGATAGTCTTTTGTAGCCCAGGCTGGCCTCAAACTCATCAAGCTGAGATTGACCTTGGACCTGATTCTCCTGCCCCATTCCATTTGTCACATGCCTGGATTACAGGCATGGGCTATGTCTGAGTTAGGGTTTCTGTTGCTGTGAAGAGACATCATGACCATGGCAGCTCTTATAAAGGAAAACATTTAAACTGTGGTGGCTTGCTTACAGTTCAGAGGTTTAGCCTATTATCATCATGGTGGGAATCAGGGCAGCATGCACGCAGACATGGTACGGGGGAGAGAGCTGAGAGTCCTTACACTAAGGAGACGTGTAATGATGCTAAGGGAATCCCTGATCTCTCAGGGTTGCATGAAGGATGCAGCTGAGAGAAAGATGTAGCATCTCAACCTGTGAAACATGGAGTTGTGGTACAGACTAAACCTACAGCCCACCAAACCTCACAGGAAAGCAAAGCATTGTGTACAGAAGGAGGGGATCTGGGGGGGTGGAGCTTGTGACCATGAGCCCCATCCCAAGTCTGCAGAAAGAGATTCTACCCTGCCTGGAAAGTCCCAGGAGTCATCTGAAGTGTCTGTGCTATGGGGAATGCCATTCTCCTCCCTCTTAGGCTCCATCACCCCCCAACTCCCAGGCCATAGGAGCCATTCATTCGGTTCTGGGAGGTGATGCTGTATGGTTTTGAATAGGTTGGTCAGGTCTGGATTGGATAGGGTGGTCCTGACTGGATCTCTCCATATCTGTGGTCAGCTGACATTGGTTCTAGAACAGCTTCACTCCCATGCTCCTGTTAAGCAGGGTTTCTGGCTGTTAACTGCACGACTCTCATGCCCAGCAAGGGAAACAGGGCCCAAAGATTTGTCAAATCTTCTTCAGTGTCACATTTGTTATTGTCCCTTTAGCCAAAGCAAGCTTCACTGCCAGTGCGGAGTCAGCACAGGACCCGAGGGCAAGGATAAAGGAGAGGAAGGGGTTACCCCAGTGTTTCTACCAACCAACACTGAAATGAGCTTGGGTGCTGTGCTAGGATGCGTGGTCATGGCCATGCTCAGTAGGGTCTAGCCCAGGGCCACCAGGCTATGGACAGTTGATTCAGCCCTGAAACAGACGGCCACCCACTAAGGATCTGTTCAATGAAAAGCAGAGAAATCCAAACCAGTTCAGCCATCCTGTGTGCTGCTATTGTGACAAAGGGTCACAGCCAAACCCAATCCCAGACCAGGGTCCACAGAAAGGCTTGCTCCCCTGGAATGTGTGTGTGTGTGTGTGTGTGTGTGTGTGTGTGTGTGTGTGTGTGTGTGTAAGCATTTGTTTAAATGGCCAACTCAGTGCTTTGAGCTCTCAATCTTTGCCAAATTGAAAAGGCAAAAGACCGAAGCTCCGAGAGTGCATATCCTACCTCTGCAGAGACACATGGAGAGGGAATCTCACAGGAGGACCCCAAGGACTGTGGCTGCTTCCATGTGCTCTCCTTACCAGAGTACAGTTCCTCATCTGCAGCTCTAAGCCAGCAAATAGGACTCACATCCAAATCAGTTGAGAATATGGGAGCTCTCGCAGGGCTGGGCAAGGCCACAGCAGAGATGGCCTTATCCAAGGGACAACTAGCTCTTCCTCTATATGGCTGCCATTAAGTGAACAGGAGCCAGTGGGCAAGTCAGAGCAAGTAAGCTTCCCACACATGGGTTGTAGTGTACTGATGTATTACTTACAGGGCAGTCAGAATTCAGGCTCATCATTGCTACCTATGAGTGACTTTATCTGTCTATCCAGTGTGCCCTGAACATCCTATTTCTTTGTATATGTCCTGTGGCATGGCAACAGTGAGTAACCCTGTTCTAGATGCCTTGTGGGGACACCTGTATGCTAGGCCTGTATGCTTGCCCCATGCCCTTGGGGATCTACTTGCCTGGAAATCTAAGGACAATCCCCTCCCAAATGGAATTTCAAGGGTTGAATCTTTTACTCTTGCAGCTAGGGAGGAGGTCCTGTGCTTAATGATGGCAGCTCTTTGGACACCAAGGTCATGCATGCCATGCCTGAGCCTCGGCACTTACAAAGCTGCCTACTGGGGACAGAATCAGGTCTCACCTGGCCCTAGCAGTGATGCCCACAGCTCAGCCACCCCACTCTTCTGAGACAGTAGGGCCACGGAGGTTGCAAGAGTGCTTAGTGCACCAGGATGATGGACAGTGGGCAGTGGCTTCACAGCAATGGGATGCAGTGGTGTCCAATGGCATCATGACCCTTCCTGTTGAGAGCTCACCCCACCCCCAGATTGCCACCAGTCCCATATGGGCTTAAGCCTGAACAATCTGTGGTTTAAATATGTCCCCCACCAAAAGTTAATGTGTTGGGACACCTGATCCCTAGTCACATGCTAACAGTGTTTGGAGACAGGGCTTAAGGGACTGAGCCAGGATTAGATGAGGTTCTGGGGGAGGGATTCCCAGACTTGGCTCTATAAAAGAAAGGGCGACCTAACTGGCACACTTAATCTTCCTCTCCATAAGATGTGCTCTGTCCTGTTGTCCTGGGAGGTTCCATAACAGATGTCAACACTGATGAAGAACTCACTCCCCAACCTCTAGAACCATAAGCCAAACACATTTCTATGCTCTGTAAATTACCATGTTGGGTGTTTTGTCATAGCAACAGAAAACAAAACTAAGATAGTACCCCCAGCAACCATGGACTCTGGATTGTTCATCAGACACTGGGTGTCATTTGATCTGTCAGTCTACAAAACCAGTGAGTCAAGATGTTCCATAGTCAATGGGGAGAGATATACATGGGCCAGACTCCAGCAGGCCCTAATCATACATGTGAAGATCACGAGCAGGTGCCTGGCACAGCCTCTCCCTCAGTTCCTTCTGAGGACTCATGGGAAATTTCTGGCATCTAATCACTGAGGAAGAACAAGGAAGCTTGACAGGCAGGTGGTCTACTGTGACAGCAGGAAGCGGGCAAAGTTGCAGAGTGACAGCTCTATTCTGGTTCAGCCTGAGATGTGAACAGCACTCAGGCTCTGCTAGTTGAGAGCTCTTAGCACCCAAGAACTACAAAGCTGGGCTTGCATTTTCCACCGGACAATGAACATCAGCGGCATAGCCAGTCAAATGTTATAAGATCTGCAGGGCCGATAACGCTGCTCCAGTTACTTCCTGGGAAAGACACTTGCACTAAGTTCATGTCACAGAATAGCACTGGGGAAGACATGCACAGATAAGTGTGTGACACGTGTACAAAGATAGATGATAGATGGGGAGAGATGACTGATAGATACACAGGTATGATAGATAGATAGATAGAGATAGATAGATAGATAGATAGATAATAGATATAGATAGATAGATAGAGATAGATAGATAGGGTGAGTGAATGGTTCAAGTCCAAAAGAAACTACAATTCTCCAAACTCCAAAAGGCAGTAAAACTATCCCGAAAATGGGCTAAACCTGGACTATAGGATTTCTGGAGATTAGATAAAGGCCAACATTCCTCAGGAACTTATGAAGCCAGTTCTCCTCTACCAAAAGGAGTCATTTCCTTACCTCTGCAGAAGGGACTGTGGCTACACGTGTGTCTATCACCATATCAAAGCTCATGCTGGCCTCCAGCCTCCCTCATTATCACAAGTACCTGTCACACACTTCAAAGTCCATGCTACCACCTCCTCCCCTACCCCAAACTCCCTCCAGCTCTCAGGCTCCCCTCCCCTCCCAACACACACTCATTCTCTTTATAACCCTGCTGTTTCCACTCTGTTCTTCTCCTGTTTCTCTCCCTGTGTTTTCTCGTTCTCTATCCCCTGCTACTCTCCCCTCTCTCACAGACAGCCCTGGCCAAATTCAGTCTATTTCTTTCTCTCTCTGCTCTGAACTCTTCCAGATCCTCTGGCTGTTCTCTCTTTATCTACAGTAAAAGCCTTCCCCTTAACCATACCATGGAGTGGTCATGTCATCAGTTTAAACAGATGGCAGGTAGAGAGACCAGTACGGATGGTAGATAGATAATAGACTAATATAGAAGACAGATTATTAATAGATAACATAGATAGAAAGATAGATAGCTAAACAGATGATACATTACATGGATTGATTGGTACTTGACAGAAGGATAGATCAGAACTCATTTTTAAATACCAAGAAATAGAGACAGGAAGGGAGAAACAGGGAGCAGAATAGGTTAAAGCAGTGGGAACAGCAACATTTACAGACATCTGGTAAACATGGAGACTCCATACAATTCCTGTGACTTCACTGTAAGCTTGATACTATGTAAAGATAAGATGCCAAGAGAGAGAAAAAGACCTTCATGCCACCCTTATTTTCAGTATATGGAGATCTATTTATCATCTATCAATGGTCTATCTATACATCACTTATCAATCATTCAATTAATATCTATCTTTTTGTTTGTTTTGAGGCAAAGTCCCAATCTGTAGCCCAGGTTGCCCTAGAACTTACTATGTAGCAAAGGTTCCCCTCTGTCCTGCTTTAGCCTCTCCAGTGTTGAGGTGAGATTATAGGCATTCGCCATCATGCTCCTTCTGATGCTTAAATCACCCTGAGCCCATGCCACCATCCCTTGCCTGTTTCAAACTTGCCTTGACACAGTTAAAGCCCTGGTGTACTGGGGGAGGGGGGCAGGACTTCAGTGCATCAGAGTCCCTGTAGCCCTTCATTGTCTGGGCCAACAAGGGTGGTCTTTACCCTGGGCAAGGTGTGGGGAATTCGGTGTAGCGTAGGCACCACACGGGAACTGTTTACTGAACACCTACTCCATGTCACACCTCATGCTATTTGCACTGGGGTGTAGCAGGAAATGAGGACACAGAAGCCCTTTGTGCAACAAACGTGATATGTACTTAAGATGTGAAGACATGACTCACTGGCAGCATGACAAGTGTTCTGCCTTAAGTGTCATCTTCTGGCATGAGCAATGAGTCCCTCTGAAATGTAAGGGGGATGGGGACCCAACCAGTGTGGGACTCAGTCCAGCACCTCTTTGGCTGCAGCCCCCTCTCCTGGGCCTGTTTCATGGTCCATCTTATCCATGCTCTTCCCTCGCTCCCACGCTACATGGCACTAGCTTATCTCCTACATGGGCCATCTGACTTCCGAGTGTTGTCCTCAGTTCCTGCTGCACCCCAGTGCAAGCAGCATGAGGTGATAAGCAGTTACCAGGTGTGGTGCCTACCGGGGTTGCCCACACCTTGCCCAGGCCTTGTTAGCCTGAATGATGATAACTTCTCAAACAGAGATGGGGGTTTGCACAGCAGGGTTCATCTTCCCATCTATAAGACATTGTCCCAGCGCAGTGCTGACCTGGGTCACAGCAGGTGGTTGTCTGAACCCCCTGTGACCCCACTCCCCAGACTGGCTATAAAGGAAAGAGGGACCCCACACATCTGAGAAACTCCTGAACTGAGTGGGCTTTCCTGGGGGTCTGACAACAGACCCCTCAGCTCAGGAGAATGGGATGAAAAACTTTTGTGAGAGATAAGGGACACAAAAGACAGCGCCCCACAAAGCCCTCAGCTCTGGTCTCTCCTCTGAGGTGGCTTTGAGCTCACAGATATATCTAACCACCCTCTGCTGCTCCCGACCCCGACCCCTCCCCCTAATTCACAAGGAGTCATCCATACAGTCTCCTAAACCAGAACTCAGCTCTGTCTTTCACCACTATATTTACTCTGATCAACCAGTCAGATGGTCCCTGGAAGGTCACATGTCATGGCTGGCCTCAAAAACCTAGTGTCTAGTATGTGCTAGTTAGGCTTGTTTCTTTTTCCAACTTGACACAAGCTAGAGTTACCTGGGAAGAGGGAACTCAGTTGAGACTGAGAAAACATCTCCACTGGACAGATCAACGGGCAAGCCCGTGGGACATTTTCTCGATTAATAATTGATGTGGCAGGGCCCAGCCCACTGTGGGCCCATCACCCCTGGTTAGGTGGTCTGATTTCTATAAGGAAGCAAGCCAGGAAGCAGCACTCCTCCATGGCCTCTGCTACAGTTCCTGCTTCCAGGTCTCTGCCTTGCTTGAGTTCCAGCTCAGACTACCACAGGGAGTTAAATTTGTAAACCAAAATTAACCCTTTCTTCTCCAAGTTGGTTCTGGTTGTGGTGTTTATCACAATAAGAGCAAAATAGGACATAAGCCACCCCCCTCCATTCCACACACACACACACACACACTTTTTCCTTAGGCAAGGTCTCTCATGTAGCTTGGGCTAGCTTTGAACTCATTGTATAGTGGAGGGTGACCTTGAATTCCTGATTCCGCTGGTGCTGAGATTATAAACATTTGCTACCTTGTATCGGGGATTGAGCCTAGCACTATGTAGCCTGGTCTTCTCTTGAACTCAAGGTGCTCCTCCAATATCAGCTTCACTTCCCAACTGAGCTGTGGTCACAGTTGCTAAAAGGAAAGCTCTCCCCCCCCCATTTTTTATTGTTTCTCATCAATAGTAATAGAAAAATCATATACAACAACAACAACAAAAAAGTCGAGATGGACTACCCCAGGAGCTGACAATTTACCTCGGGGTGTCCCAGACTGAGCATAGTGACATTTGGGGACACTAATTCTTTGTTGTCCTGTGAGCTGTAGGGTGTCCGTAGTAAGCCAGTAACTCATCCACCCCAGCTGTGACAACCAATCCACCTCCAGACATTACAACACATCGCCAAGGGACATGGCATTGAAGATGGCTGGTTTCTGTCCCTCAGAACTGGGAGGTTCAGGCAAATTAAGCCACCAGTAGTCACTGAAAAAAACAAAGCTGGGCTGGAGCCCAAGAGCTCATCCAGAGCCTAAATCTTTCCCAGCCAGTGTCATTTTTAGCTAGCTTAAAATAAATCTATGTGTGTGCACACATGTTTTTGTTGTGAATGGGGCACATGTGGCATGTGTGTAGCAGTCCAAGGACAACCTCAGGTGTCAGGTCTCACCTTCTACCTCCTTTGAAGCAGGGTTCCTTTGTTTTTCCTTGTTGTGTTCCCCAGAACAGCTGAGTTAGCAGGTAGCTTCCAGGGATTCTGTCTCCACCTCCCATCTTAGAAGATCTGGGATTATGGACTTCCAGCCCCATACCCAGCACATAAAGCTAGAGATTCAAACTCAGGTCTTCCTGATTACATAGTAGCACCTTACCCATTGAGCCATCTCCTAGCCCTAGTCTGTTTAAATAGCATCACCAACTTGCTGCCTAGGCCAGCTGGGCATTTGGGGGTAGGTGAAACTGTTTTGAGACAAGGTCTCACTAGATAGCCCAGGCTACCCTGGAACTATGTAGCCCAGGCTGGCTTTGAACTCTTGGCTTCCCAGTAAGTATCACTCTGTAGAAAAAAATGTACTCAAGGCACAAGACTTCTTCAGGGAGGGGGTATGGAATGCCAAGTTGAGGTTGCCATCACAGGCTGGCTTGACTTCCTACTCCTTCCAAAGAGAGAGCAGGGGAGCCCATCCCCCAACCCTTCTGCTCTTCACCATATCTTCCTTCAGCCTGTGCCTGATAGCGCCAGAAGGAAGAGTTCAAGCCGTCCTGGCAATTCAAAATGATACACCCCAGCTCTGGGCAGGGAGAACGGATATGGAATGTGTGAGAAGCAGCCCCCCAAAGAGTCAGAGGCCAGCTGGTGCATCTGAGCTCATTACTAGAGTAAGTCAGAGCACATTGTGACACCCCGGGCTTCGTCTCCAGCCTGAATGTCTGGCACAGGAAGCCATGAGTTTGAGCTGTCGCAAGCACGCTGTCCCTGCTGTCTGCCAGGAGGGTCTGATCAAAGCACAGCCGGGGGTTTAGTGGTTTTTATTTAATATCCAGAAATCCAAAGGACACTTTGCTTCAAACAATTAAAAAGACAATAAAGCGCTACAGCACAGAGGGGGAACTGATTTGGCTGTTTGAAAACAAGATCCCGTTTTGTCAGGCCAATGAGGATACAGGGGCCCTGGGCTCAGGGCTTGCATGACTGGATGCAAAAGAGGAACAAGAGCTGCCTGCCAGGTCATCAGGGCTGGAGGAGACATGCCAGTTGGTGCAGGACAAAGGGGAGTAACCCCAGACCTGGTCCACATACCTGGAGGAGAGGGGGGTACAGACCTGCCTGATGCTTCCTTGTGACTATGTGGGTGGGATGAAAGATGATGGCATTTCTACCAGTTTTGGTGGCCAGACTTCTCTTCAAATTAAATATCAGGAGAGAATGTAGATCCAAACAGTAGAAGGTTCCAGAACTTCCTTGAACTCAAAGAAAGAGCCATGGGAAAGTTGGCAGAGGAGTCACTGGTTACCTGAGGGCATGGAGGGAGACAGCTCCCCCTAAATTAATGGGGCACCAGATGGCTTACACAGGTGGCCCTGTAGTTGACCTAGGAGTTCTCTATGCCTCTGTCCAGGCTGTGGTGTGAGGGCTAACTCCACATTAGGTAGACTTTCACTGGCATTTCAAAACCACACTTCCATGCTCAGCCAACAGCAAAGGTCATGCCTTCAAGGAACCCTGGCTTCACAAGTCCTGCTTTGGGCAAAGGAGTCGGCTTGGATTCCAAGTGCGGTTTGTGTCCTCCAGATAGGGATGTGCAGGAAACCACTGCCTTTCCCAGACCAACCCTTTTTCCCCTCAGCACCATAGGTCTCTGCACACCCTTTGTATCAAGGCTCCCTGCCCCGGGGATGAGACACCCTTGCCAAGACCACCTGTGAGCAGAGCAAGGAGGACCCAGCAGCTGTGGCTGTGTGCATGTAGGGAAAGCTGCACAGAACGTTCCAGTCCTGGCTATTTTGTCAGTGTGGCTCTTTAATGTCACTGCATCCCACGGGGAGACACGGTAATGCCGTTTTAATTATCTCTTTCCCCTGCTGGGAAGCCACCTCCATTGGAGCAAACTATTCCAAGCCCATCCCCAGCTTAGCAACAGCGGAACCAAGGGAGGATATTAAACTGTTTGCTGGAACTTCGCTGCTGGCATTCTACTCGGTATCAAAACCTCACTTCACAGCCCTAGTCCACGACAAAGTGGGGATCGGAAGAGAGAGGCTCACTGTAGCTGCCGTGGGTGCTCAAGGCTTAAGGAAGAGGGTGGCAGGAGGAAGTAGGAGGAAAATGAGAGGGGGTGAACCAGAGAAGCAGGATGCCAGTGATGGCATCACCACGACTCTCTAGACTCAAGGAGAATGAGTGGTGAATGGCTTGTGTGAACAGCAGCATTTTCTGTTATAGGACATGCTGCAGGGGGTGCCAGCAGCGTTCTAGGAAGGATGTGGACACTTCATATGCCCCCACAACCAGCTGAGCATGCCCCACAGACCTACTCCCAGCATGTTGGAGGGAGACCTTGCAGCTGTCATGGGGTCAGTGAGGTCATACAGGGGATGGGTTCCACATCAGAAGGAAGAGGAGACTAATACAGGAAAAGGGATGGTGTAAGGCAGAGAGAAGCAGTGAAAAAGAAACCTCAGAATCCAGCCCTGCAAGCACTTCCAGCCTCCAGAGCCGCCAGATGCACGCCTCTGTCATTCTGGCTGCCTGTAGCCTGTGGTCACACCCTTGTAAAATCTCTAAAACTGTGTCCATTCCCCAACAGGGCCTCAGAGACGCAAGGTTCTGGCTCCAAGCCGTCTCAAGCGGCACATTCAGAGCCAGCAAGAGACCCAGACAGGCCCTGTGAATCTTCTCTGGGGGCCTGAGGCATTCTGGGTCCTGAGAGTTTATGTAAAAGGTCAGTCAAGTCCAGTAAACCACAAGATGGATGGGGGTGGGGCAGGGACACACATCACAAGTCTAAGCCTGAGACAGGAATGAAAAACGGCAAGGATCTTTTTACTAAGACAAGAGCCTGCTTCCAGGGAGAGCCCAACCCAGGGGATTCCTGAGTCCCTGAAGCAGGGGCTGCCGCGCTCCTGCCATCAGTAATTGCTCGTGGGTTGGAGTTCAGGTGGACAGCCCTCTCCAGCTGAGGGCTAAGCTAGGGGTCCGTTCTTTTTCATCTCTTGATAGCAGCGAAGAAACAGAGGAGGTGAGGCCTCAAACCGGAGAGGGTGTTTAAAGCACCAAGTTCTCAAAGGCCTAACTGGCTGGCCAAGGAGCCACAGAGCAAACAGGCTTAAAACAACCACACAAGACAGGGAGCGGAGAGGAGGGGCGTTGCACAGCTGGGATGGGAAGCCTGAGGCCTCCCTGGAGGAAGTGTCTCCTGGGAAGGCAGGGACCGTGGACAGATACACAGATTTTTCTTGCCTAGAATTTGTCCCAGAAGGATCAGCTGCTCTGTCACTCCACGTCCTTGTACTTGGTGAACAGAGTGTAAAGGACCCGCAAAGTAGATTTGAGGTCCAAGTTTACCACATCTGCAGAAGGAAACAGACAGACAGAGTTGGTTGAAGAGGACAGACTCCAGGAGGTGTTAGCTGCATTGTCCCATATGCAGCTGAAAATGTCTGCTGCCTGTCCATAGGACACGCAGGCCGCCCGGGGCCCTGGCCCCTGCTGTTCCTCTCTTTGTGCTCTGAGCTGCTTTAGTGGGGTGTTACCTTCAGGGCGTGCCTTGGGCTTCTTGAGTCCTCCATCAAGCATCAGCTCAAAGGCAAAGGCCACATTGTGCACCTGCCAGAGGCAAGACAGCAACGGGGTCAGTGTCAGTGAGGTCCATGTCCCCACGCCTGACCATATCCGCACTCCTTTCGTCTGTGTGGAAAGAACTGACAGCTTCCCTTTGTACAAAACCCACCAGGACACAGGACAGGACATGGGGTAAGCACACACAGTGAGTCCACTAGGGGTAACTCAACAGTTCCTGCTCCTCATGTCATGGATCTGTGTTTGGAAGATAGGAGGATAGCAGCTTCCAGCTCTGAGATGAGAAATGACAGACTGGGAAACCAGGCTTGGGAAAGACAAGTCCCTTGCAAAGGCACTCAACTCTGGACATTCCTCTGGGCACAGGGCAGCTTCGGGCTACCTGACTAAAGAGCTGGGCATCTGTGGAGGCCTGACTGTGTCTCTGTGGGGTACACTGCTCTTGAGGCAATTGCGGACCCAGTTGAAATTGGGGTTACCCCAAGTCTCTGGTCCCAGTCCTGACCATCTGCGGGTCCACCCTGCCCACCCAACCGAACACTCCATTAAGGCTTCCTTTCTGCTAATGATGGCCAGAGAGCCTGAGGCCTCTCCATCATGTTTAAAGTCTACAGGAGTCAAGACCAACTAAACCGTGTATAGCTTCTGCCTGCCCTGAGCAGAGGGGGATGGGAAGGTAGACCTCTAAAACAGCAAGGGCACAGACCCCAGCTGGACAGGCCTGAGGGCTCACAGTGACCGACTGCCTCTCCAGTAGTAGTGCTGTCTGTCACTCCCCTGTGGGTGAGCCAGAAATGCCAGCAATAATCTCCCTTACAGTGTCAATCCTGAATTAACAGAAGGCAGGAGCCCACAGGATCTGAGCTGCCTGGTCTTGTGGCTCTCCCTCCCCCTCCCCCAGTGCTGGAGAGAGAACCCAGGGTTTCCTGTGCACTAGGCACGTGCTCTGCCACTGAGCTATTCCTCAACCTAATGTTGTTTTTTTTTTTTTTTTTTTTTTTTTTCTGAGACAGTCTCCTTTAGCCCAGGCTGGCCTCAAACTTAGTGTAGGAAGAAAACTTTGAACTTCTAACCTTCCTGACTCCACCTGCTGGGATTACAGATGCTAATCATTGTGCCTGTTTACACAATGCCAGGGATAGAACCCAGGACCTGTGTATGCTAGGCAAGTACTCTACCATCTAAGCAGCATCTCCGCAGACCAATGCCTTTGGTTAAAACTGTAGGCTGCTGCTCTTTTTTGAGGGAGCACCTCCTGGAACATCTCCTACTGGGCTTGCTGCATCTCTGCCTCCTTCAGCACCCTTGAGATGTCACCAAGATGCCTGAGGCCAGAGCAAAGGACCCTCAACTTCAGACCACAGAGCTCATCAGACACACTGCCTGCCCCAGAGCAGGGCATGGCCCTCCCAGCCATGAGGAGCAGGAGACAAATACATGGGTCAAGGCTCATAGAGGTGTGGCAATAACTTGTGCTGATCCTCACTGCGCCCACCCTCCCCCCAGGAGGAAGAGGTCAGTGTGTGTGTGTGTGTGTGTGTGTGTGTGTGTGTGTGTGTAAATAAGAAAGGGACCCAATCCTTGTGCCTCTCTAAGGAGAGAGCCCCAGGTGCCTGCAGAGTTACACACCCTAACCTCCTGTCTCCCTGGAGAATGGGTGGACCCTCTGGATGTGTGCTCATCACCAGAGGCATCCTTGAGCCTTCTAGGCCAGGATAGTGCCAGCATAGATGTTCATCCTACTTTCAAAGGGAGAAAGCCAGGCTGAGGAGCGTGGCTTCTTTGGTCTGTAAAAAGCCTTGTTTGGACAAAGACCCAGTTCTATTGGTTATCCACGGCTCTCACCAGCCTCCTTATTGGTTTAAACAAAGACAAGATTTCCCAGAGATAATAGAGCTACATAGAGCCTGGACATGCACGAACCTGTGCACCAGACACAATGCCCTCTGATTTCTACAACCGCATCAGGCTCCATGGTCCTGTACCACTCCATGGTCTGTACCACTCACTCCTCACTGCACTTGCTCTCCCCCACCCCAATATGTTCTCCAGCATGCCAAGACCTCTCTAATCTGCCCAATTCTATCTCTGCAGGCAGACAGACTGCTTGGGGCCAGGAGCCAGCAGATTGATAAACACTGGCCTGTCCTCTGCTGTTACCCTGGCTCCCACTGCGGGTGCCACCGTCTGCCTCCATGCCTCATGGACCTCACACTTTGGAAAAATAAAGTGGCAGGTGCCATGAGTCCCAGGTAGCCCAGCCTGGCCTCTGCCAAGTCCCCAGAAGTGAGGCACTAACTCTTCAGTTGCAGAACTAACTTCAGGAAACCCGGGAGGGACAGACAGCACAGGAGGAGTGGAGACAGGGACACAGGTGGTGGAGGGTCGATTCAGAGGGTCCTACAGGAGGGATAAAATACAGCAGAAATAAAATATGCATACATGCACACAGCCCCACCACATTACATACATATATGCTCACATATTCATATATGCTCATATACGCACACATACACACATACAAATCCACAAGGCATATATGAGAATATACACACATATATGCATACATAAATACAGACACACACCTACAGATATGTATATTTATATAAATGAATACTCATGCATATACACTCACAAAGAGACAAGCATACATACACAGAGACATGTACACACATATATACACACACTAACATACACATACACTGAGACATATACATACATGGCTACATACTGTCCTGTATGTATATGCATGAAGAGACATATATGTACATATATACAAACACAGGCATACAGATACACACACACACACACACACGCCTTCAGATGACACAAATTGCAGATGGACAGTGTCTGGGGAATGCAGCATACTGAACAATCACCCTCCACTGTTGCTCCCTAACAATACAGAAAGAAGCTACTTTGCATAGCATTTGCATAGCATTAAGTATTATAAGCCACCAGACAGGATTTAACATCTACAGCAGGAAGTGTGTAGGCTTTATACTTTATACGACATTTCACATGTGGGACTTGAGCATCTGTAGGCTTTGGTCCCCAGCAGATTCAGAGGGATGACTGTAAATATTTGAAAAATTCACACAGCCAGAAGCTTGAAGAAAGAGACACAGGCAGGCACATGCTACAGAGCCACACGTGTTACCCTAGAACATAACATTTGGAGGCTCCCAAAATAAGGAAGCCCAAAGAGTTGTGTGGCATTTGACCAGTCATAAAAAAAAATCCAAAAACAAAAATAACAACAAAACAAACAAAAAACCCCAAGCCTGTGGGAAAGACTTGGAGAATCATGACCAAGAAGACTTGGATGTACTGCATGCCACAAAGGGGTATCCTATTCTGTCTTCAGGGAACTATATCAGATAGAATCCCACATGTGTAGCTTCACATTCTAAAGAATACTGAGAGGCTGCAGCTGGCCAGTGGCATCAGGGGACATTCCGTCTGTCTACCCCAGTGAGCAGGGCTGCGGCCACTCTCAGGAGACACTTACCTTCTGGTCGAAGCTGTCAGGTGTCAGATAGAAGTTGTGGAGGGGGACGAAGTAGTCTTCAAGGAGGCCCAGAAGCAGAACCAGGTACACACCATCTGCAAACTGCAGAGAAAATTCGGTGACAATTGTGGGGCGTGTGTGGAATGGACTGACACCCTGCATGTGAGTCGAAGGGTGTGGGAATGCCCACAAGATGCAGTACTCACCCCAGGACCCCATCCACTCAGCACTCCCAATCTGCACTTGGAACTCTCAGCAGAGCTCAAGGGAAGAGGCCCATGCCCTAGTCACCCACAGGAGATGACCAGGGCTTCAGAACAAAGGGCCGGTCTCTTGGCACCCATGCCCCTCCCTGAGCAAGCCAGGAAAGGGCAATGGCTGCTTTTTACCAGGGTAGCAATGAACCCCGGAGATATAGAACATAAAACTTGCCACCTTGACCAGTTTTACACAATTTTAACTTTTAGATTTATTTCATGTGTGTGAGTGGTTTGCCTGCATGTGTGTATGTGTACCATGTGTGTGCCTGGTGCCCCTGGAGATCAGAAGATACTGGATCCACCAGAACTGGAGTTACAGTTGCAAGCTGCTATGTGGGGTGGGTACTAGGAATTGGATTGGGGTCCTTTGCAAGAGGCACACATGCTCAGATCCACTGATCCATCTCTGCAGCCCTTACATTTTTATTTGTGTTTTGTACATGCATCTACCACAGTGCACAAGTGGAGGTATGAGGATAACTCTCCTCTCACCATGTATGACCTAGCGGTTAACCTCGGGTCATGAAGCTTGGTGGCAAATGCCTTAACCTGGTGATGAGCCATCTCCCTAGCCCCATCTTTACCACTTTTAGGTCTTCCAGTGTCATGATGAGCATTCACACTGTCATGCACTGTCACTACAAGCCACCTCCAGAATTCTGTCTTCATTAAACACTGATTCCTTAGGAAACCCCATACTCCTTCTGTTATTATTATTATATAATTTTTTTAATCTTTTTGAGGCAGGGTCATAAATGTATTCCAGGCTGGCCTCAAACTCAAAATGATCTTCCTGCCCCAGCTTCCTGAGTGTTAGAATTTGGGGTTTTGGCGTGTTGTGTGTGTGTGTGTGTGTGTGTGTATTGTGTGTATATGAGTATACCTACAGGCAAGCACACAGAGGTCAGAGGACATCAGGTGTCCTCCTGAGACAGGGTTTCTCACTGGACCTGAAGCTCACCATTTTCAGCTAGTTTGGCTGGCCAGCGACTCAGTCCTACAGATCCTATCTGGTCCCCCACAGCGCTGGGGTCACAGGTGCACATGACCACACACACCTGGCTTTTTATCTGGGTGTTAGGGATTTGAACTCAGGTCCTCATATTTGCACAGCATGTGCTCTGGCCCACTGAGCCTGCTCCCTAGCCCAGTATTTTTTTTAAAACATGTCCTCACTCCAGCCTCGCCTGGTCTGGAATTTTCAGCCATTTTTCTGCCTCAGCCTCCTGAGTATTGATATTAGAAATATGTGCAGTCAGCCCCATATCATTTCTACCTCCAGAGGTTTTATTCTGGGGGTCTCACACATGTGGGTCACATGGCACCCATCCTTTCACACCCAGACTCTGTTTTTTTTTTTTTTTTCTTGACTAACCATTTTAATTGTGCCTGTTTATAAAACCTTCACCACTCAGATTGCCAGTAGCATCACTACTTGGCAAGCAATATTTGGAACTCCTGAATTTGACATATTTTTTATTTTTAGATTTGTTTTGTGTATGAGTGTTTTACCTGCAAGTATGTATGTATGTACAAGCACAATAGGCATGCCCAATGTCCATGGAGGTCAGAAGAGGGCATTGGATCCTCTGGAATTGGGGTTAAAGATGGTTGTGAATCACTATGTGGGTGCTAGGAACCAAACCTGGGTCTTCTATAAGAGCAACAACTGCTCTTGACTACTGAGCCATCTCTCCAGCCCCCTTGGTTCGCTTTTAATTATATCATTTATTTGGTGTGTGCACACACATGCCACAGCACACATGTGGAAGTCAGAGGACAATTTGTGGGGATCAGTTCTCTCCCTCAACCAGTTGGGTTCCAGGATCAAAGTCAGGTTGACAGATTGGCAGCAAGGATCTTCATCCTCTGAACCATTTTGCTGGCTCCTGAATTTGGCTCTTTAAAAGCTTATTAAAATACAGAAGGTAACTCCCAGGGGTACTGAACATGTTTCAGCATGGACACACATGGCCAGTGACTGCCGTAGTGAATGGCACACCTCTACCATTAAAGGAGGGTCGACAGTCAGGGTTCTTCTAAGGTTCCCAGGCAGGACTCCTAGAGAGGTAGGAGGGGCTAGGACACCTCAGAGGCCTTCAGCTTCCAGGGACTAGCACCTCCAGATATGTAAATGACAGCATGGAGTAGGGGAAGTACCCCTTTAAAAACTCAACCGCTTTTAACCCAGCCCTCCAATGTCCCAGAGGATCTTGGATACTCTCACCTAACAGCATTTAAGTAGAAAAGGGAACATCACAACTATCTGATTTTAAGAGCCAGGAGCTTAGGGGAAAATGTCCCTAAGAAGCAAAAGGTGGCATAAAGTCATTTGTGTGACAGGCCTCCAGGGGGCCAGCTACCAAGCACAGACTTAATAGGATGTCAGAGATGGCTAAAGCAGACTTTGACTGGTTTACACTGTGTGATAGTGATAGCAGGGAAGAAAAAGACAATGAGCAAATTCAGATTTCCCCCGGTCTAAGATACTCCGGCTGTGAGTCCTGAGGAGCCACATAAGAAACAGCACTCGGGAGGCAGAGGCAGGTGGATCTCTGAGTTTAAGATCAGCCTGGTCTACAGAGAGTTCCAGGACAGGAGGGAAGGAAGGAAGAATGCTGGGTGGGCTGCCTTGGACGTGGGTCAGCTGCCCACACAGACGAAGCCACTCCCACGATCAGACCTTCCTAGGTCTCATGGTGCTTGCAGCTTTGCTCTTACACCTCCATGTCTGTCTCCGTTTCTAGATGTTAGCCCCAAGGAAAGACAGGGCACAAATAACTTCTGGCATAACACCCACCACTTGGCATGCCCATGAGTGGGAACGGGTCCAGTCATTGGCTGCTTTACTCTAATGCAGCCTCACACCTGAAGCGAAGGCAATTATTAACAGTGCTGGGGAGGAACCCTTGAATGTGAGCAAATGTTATGTGACTGAGTTGCACTTCCCAACTCAAGAAGGGTATGGTTAAAAGGGACCAGTAGTGCCAGGTATGGTGGTGCGTGCCTATAACCTTGCCACTCAGGAGGCTGAGACAGGAGGATCACCAAAAGTTTAAGGCTAGACCCTGTCTTGAGGAGAGGGAGGGAGGGACAGAGAGAAAGAGGGAGGGATGAAGGGAGGGAGGGAGAGAGAAAGAGAGAGACTGAAAAGAGAAATAGCTTCAGACAGAGACATCCATCTCTTGCAAGAAGAGGCCTAAATGTATTTAGGGAGGAAATAAAACACAGCACATTAAAAAAACAGCTGTCCAGTGTGATGCACTGTTATTAAAGAGAGTGTGTTGTTTTATGCATGAACACTTTGAAAGAGACCCAGGCTGAGGGGGGGGGGGATCGGGGAGGGAGAGAAACAGCTTTCACTTTAGCTTCCAGAGCTTCAGGAAATGGAAAGTGTCACACCAGCAAGTGAGCTGCATGAGCAAACAGCCAAGGATAGGAGCTGCATCTGCAAATCACAGGCATGTGTGTGCACGTGTGCACATGCACACATACAGACTCAATCCACTCCCAGGGGCAGACCACACTGCATACACCCAGAATCCCCAGGAGAAGTGTTTGGAACAAACCCCGGAGTGCAGTGGGGTGATACATTATGGTGACTTTTGTTTGTTTTCCTTATCTTCATTTTCAGACATTTCTACGATGAACCTGAATTACTTTTTTAATTAGAAAAGCAAATGAGAGAAGTTAAAGAAAGAGAAAGCAATAGAAGAAAACGCCCAGGGGTTTAAGAAGGTTCAGTTGCGCATTAGAGATGTCTGTGCCGAGGATTCAGACTCAGAACTCACAACTAAGCTGGGGAAAATTCTGTTGGACCCCCAGGGCTTGTTGTATGCTTGGAGACCATCATCACAATGAGCTCTAGCTGGAGGAGAGTGTGTGAGATACGTATGGCTGAAGTGTTTTGTCCCTATTTCCCAAATGGATGCTTATTTTATTTCTATTCTTGTAATTTGTATGATGTATGGGGCAGGCAACAGGTTCGTGTCACAGTGTGTATGTAGTCAGATGGCAACTTGCTGGAGTCAGTTGTGTCCTTCCATTATGTGCATCCCTGGGGATCAAACTCAGGTCCCCAGACTTGCTTGGTAATCATTTTACCAGTGATCCATCTCGATGGCCTCAGGTTGGATGGCACATTGTCTCCATGCTGCCACAGGACCAAATGTGAGGTTGCAATGTCTCTACCACAGAAGCAGAAGGCAAAGGACTCTGTGGCAGGGTGGGATGGAGCCTGTCTCTCCCAAAATCCTAATCCCTAGACTCTGCATGTGACTCCACTTGGAAACAGGGTTTCTGTTGCACTTGTGTCGTTAGTGTGGGCTCCAAGCCAACATGATGTTTCTTTGCTCTCATGCATCCATTTCTAGACACTAACCCTGGGGAAGCAGATGGGGGGGGCTGGGGGATGGGGAGGGGGCAGAGAGCTGTGATGTACAGAATGTAGATGTACACATACAAAGATGCAGACACAGGAGGAGGCAAAAGAAGATGGAAGTGATGCATCTCCAGACAGAAGGACACCAAAGCCTGCCTGCAGAAGCACAGCAGAAAACAGAGGAACGGGGAAACAGCTAGCCTGCCCACACTGCAACTCTAGACTCCCAGCTTGCAGAGCCCATGGCTTCAGTCTTCAGTCTCTGGGTGTCACAGCTACAGAAAGCAGAGTGTCTGAGCAGCCAGCTTGGTCAGGCTGGGACAATACTGTGAGTTACAGCAATACTGTGTGTTACACACTGGGAGGTCCTCCTAAGAGAGATAAGGTGGTTGTCTCTTGAGTTGAGAGCTGCTAGAAGCACAGGCCAGAGGGACCCTCCACCGAAGCCCTGCCTACCTGGGTCTCCAGGTCAGTCACCTCCAAGTTCAGCTTATTCAGGTGTTTGTTCACAAATGTGATGAGAGACTGTCATGGCAGAGAAGCAAAGGCATTATCAGCAACGTTCTGCAGAACTCCCCCCCTCTTCAACATGGTGGTTTGAGACCCTCCAGATCCTCCTCTGGTGGCTATAATTAAAAGGTTATGTATCAGACACTATACTCTAAAGCCAGCACTAGTCTTAATGACCCAGTGCTAACCGGGATCAGGCTGTATATTCAGTCTGTGGTCTACACGACCCTATTGTAAAGGAGTACTGCCATGCCACACATTGCTGGCTGTGGTCTCAATGCACAAGGCCAACCTTAGGAACCTCAAACACCTTTCATCTCTATCTTAGCCTGCCTTGGATACGCAGAGAATCTAAACAGGTCCCATGAGGGGTGGGGTTGGGAGGGGTTGGGGGGAGATCTACCTTCTTCACAAGGTTGAGTTTGTCTGGTGCGTGATCGAAAAGCGTGTCGAAGGCATCCCGCTCTGCCATGACATGCAAGAGAGAACACAAAGGGGAGATGGAGAGAGGACTCTGCTGCCCTCATCCCAACCTTCAACCATCAGTTCTGGAAACAGCCACCCTGCTCCCTGGGGATATTCTGCCTTGGGGCTCCTGCCTACTTGGTCCCTCTAGTTTCTGCCAGAGCAGAGGAGCCTGCGAATTGGCATTGTCTCTGAGTGTGAGTAAAACTGCAATCATAAGCTGACTTATGAACCAAGGGTTCAGGAGGGCTTTCTCAAACTCTGTTAACTATCTGTAACGCTTTGGGCGTGGAATACCGAGCCACACATGAGCACCTATGTGCTTCCATGGAGCACTTGAACATCCTGGACTCTACTTTCCTACGCTCCATCACTGTCTGGAATCCCAACACTTCAACTCTTGGCCAGGTCTGCTGCCCCCATGCCAGGTCCACCTCCCCTTAGCAGGGGATGGCCACAGCCTCCAAGCCGTCTGACCTCTTCTCCCTCAGCAGCCAGACTCTAAAAGTGCAACTAGATGTCTTCTTGCCACTGGCTCATGGGAAACCTACCTCTCATCACTCTTAGACTGTGGTCCATCCTTTCTCCTCAGTATAACAAGATGGCCACCCTCTCACACTTCTCCCAGGCTTTACAAAATGGTCTCTCTCTACCCCTGAGGTGCAGACATGCCTCAGGGCCTTTGACACAGCTGCACTGCCCCCAGGTTGCTCTCCAAGGTTACCTGCTTTGAAGGGCTCAGACTAGTATTTATCACAACTTGAAATGACAGTTTCTCCTTGCAGTACTGTCTGCTGGACTTTTGGTCCCTAGCCCTCCTGGAGAGATGGAGCACTCTCCCCCTGCTGGCCCTGTCTCTAACCCCAGCGTCAGGGAAGAGCCAGCAGAGGTGCTCAATGTAAAGGCACCTGAGCCCTTGGTGTCCCCTGCAGGCAGCCGGTTCCTCCCTGAGATGTGTCACCTCTCTCTTCCCTGAGGAATCACAGCCAGTTCTGTCACCTGTGTGCAAGCTACCACCCCAATCAGCACACAAGTCCCCATCCTTCTCTACTTGATTGAGGCCATCAGAGGATAGAAGCCTTGCAAAATTAGGACATGTAAAAAACAAGTTGGCAAAGAGGTAACACCGGAACCCAGAAACCCCTCCCTTCCCACAAAAGACACCTCCAGTCCACCAAGGCTGACAAAGGAAAAGAAAATTTTTTAATCTGAAAATCTGCATGTATCTCTGGCTCAGGACACAAGCACTCCAAAGTGTCTGTGGGTGGCCTGGGGCTCATTGTAACACTGTGGCACACCTCTGGGGGCAGACTTAAGATGCTAGTGAGAGATGCTGACACATGAATTTGTATGAACTACATGTGACAAACAGAGCACTCAGAAAAGCCTACTCTATGCAAATGAACTAAAATACCCTTGCTATGCAAATGAGGGAAAATCGGCTCCAAGGTAACTGGGAAGCCCAGCTCTGCACACTGGAGGCCTTACTTCCTCCCTTGAAAGTGAATCCTTCCTCAGTAAACTGGCTGTTCTGGCTGCAACTGTGCATCTCTCTGCTCTGTTCCTTGCTCTTTGTTCAGGGACACAAGAACCCCTCTAGAGGTGCCCTCTGAACTCTATTATCTGCTAGAAGTCTTTGGACTAGATGGCTGCAGCCCAAGTCCAAGCACAGGCCTGGGACCCCCAGAGCCCACAGAGCACTGCAAGGGACCTAGGCCTCGACCTCTGTCTTCTCGGTTCTTGGGGCATTGTGTGCTCTTGGGACCCAGCTAGCTGTCTATTCCCAGCTCCAACACAGAGCCCTGGTGGGACTGGGGGCACAGGGAGCCTTCTCTCACCTTGTGGGGAGAGGAGGAGGAGGGAGAACTAAGAAGACTTTGGAGAGCTGAGAAAGCCAGGGTTCCTAGGAGAACAGGCAGCCAGAACAGTCTATGAGAAGCCTCCTAACCCCAACAAGAAGGTGCCAGAGACTCAGGCCAGGGTCTGGAGACATCTCCATCCAAACTGGGGCCTCTTCTTCAGTCTTGGGGAAGGTGAGAGGCAAAATGGAGAGAAGGGACGTGTGTGTGTGTGTGTGTGTGTGTGTGTGTGTGTGTGTGTGTGTGTGTGTGTGTGTGTGTGTTCAAGCTTGTGTTTCTGTTGGGGGAAGGGAGGCAGCTCCTTCCTCTAAGAGTTGGTGGGGACAAAAAGCCACCCTCAATTACCACCATCTGTCACTCACTTCCATAATCAGTTAAGTCAGATTATCCCCCTGAAAACAATCTGTAAAGGGGCAAAAGGAGCTTAGTCCTCTTGAAGCAGTGCAGCCCTGTAAAGCAGCTTAGGCAAAGCCCCAGGAGCCCAGGCGCTTGACGTCACTCGTTTATTTAGCCTGGCCACTGCTGGGCTGGCAGAGTGTTAAGTAGGCAGATGCTGGGAGCCTCCCACGCTGGCTGCTCACCTGGGCCTACAGGACATATTATGTGGCCCCGTGACCAGGAGGGGCTAGGGGCTCTAAACAGGGGTTAATGGGGTCAGGGCAGAGCTGGTTTGGTATCCTCACCGAGTGATTTGAAAGCCCACAGACTTCAGGCCACTTCCCTAGCCGAAGGGTCTCTTCCTCTGTAAGCAAGAACAAGCCCCCAACCCTTCCCCAGCACCCCTGTGAGCATCAGGAGTTGGGATGGGACCACAGGGATAAGCCCAGCCATCAGGCATGTCTGGGTCTCCACAGTTTGCCTCCTGTGCTGGAGAGGTTACTAGTTGGGAAGGGCACAGAGAGGAGGATCCCACATCTCCCTGGACCTTTACTCAGTTTCCTTTATACTAAAGGTTCTCCCCAATCCACACTTCTGACTCCCCTGAAAGCAAAGGCTGGGACCACAGTGAGCCACACATCCACCTGTCATCAGGGGCTATACACAGGACAGGGCTGGAAGCTCATATTTCCGTGCCCCCCACCCCCGCAGCCCCCTTCTCATAACCTTCAGCTTCTAAGGTTTGGCTTACTGGTCCCTGGAGCACCCGAGTGTGTACCCACGGACAAGAGGTTAGAGTAACGTTGGGACGGGAGGAAGGGCCTTGAGGTCTGAGCCAGGCTTGCTTAGAGAGATCCGAAGGGGAAGGGCAAGCCAGCCAGAGGGAACAGAATGTGCAAAGAGAAACATTAGAGATTCCAGATTTAAAAGCAGGGAGGGGACAGGCGTGGGGGGGGGGGCTGACAGGAGCTCAGCTTGGCATCCTGGGTGGTGACCAGGGGGTGTAAACAGGGGTGTGAACCCCAGGTCAGAGTTTCAGCACAGGTTCCAATGAGAGCTGAATTGGGGAGACTGAGTCACAGCAATTTGAGAGTGGGATGAGGAAGGTGCTTCTATTCTTGCCCGTCCCATCCCAACAGCATCAGAAAGGGCTCCTGAGTGGGGGGGACTGGAGAGGAAGGGCCACCAGCTAGAGAAAAGGCAACTGGCAAAGCCGTTGCTATGGAGACCAGACTATAACCTCCCAGCTCCCAAGAGACTTGTTTCCAGGGAGAGGAAAAACCTGCTCCCACCTCAGCCAGGACAAGATGCTGATGGAAGGGGCTGGGCCCCCTTTACCTGTTGGAATAATGGAAGAGTGACCAGAGAGAAGCTGCTCCCGCTGTACACAACACTTGAAGGCCAAGCAGCCCGAGAGAGCTCGTTCTTGCAAGGCTCAGCCAAGGTGGGGTCAGCATGTTATCTTGGACCTTCCTCATAAAAGATAGTGGTTCAGGGAGGGCTGCTGAGATCATGCAGGCTGGGGGTGAGTGGCTGCCTGTGGGATACTTCTAGACCCTGAGCAAAGGAAGAGGCATTGGATATGACTACAAATGTAGCAATTGCAGCACTGTCCTGGGGCAGGGAAGCACACACAAACACTGAGACTCCTGGAGCAGGGCTGGCTCTAAGTGTGGCAGATGATCACAGGCATAAATAAGGCAACCTGAGGGTAGCAGGACCTGTGTACTCTGGTTTGTGACAGGGGATCCCTAGTGAATGATAGTTAAGCTAATGCAGGAGGGAACCATGGGACAATCGAGTGGAAATGGGGTCACAGGGCTGGGCCTGTGCGTGCAGGAAGTGAAACCCAAGGAGGTCACAGGGGCTGTGATGTCCTTAGAGACCACTGTAGGGACTGTGGACAGGAAACAGAATTGACAAGGGGTGCTTTGGGATCTCCCTCGCTAGCAAAGTGCAGAGAAGCTGAGGGCTCGATGGAAACAAACATGGAGGTGGTGCACTATGGCACGATGGCAGTAGTGTGACCAGACCCTGGCAGGACACTGAAGCCAGATGTGACCAGGAATCCTGGGACAGCCATGTGCCACTTCCCCGCAAGAGGATGCCTGGGAGCCCAGGGACTCACTGCACCCAGGCTAAGACTAAGGCTGTCAGGCGCGTAACTAGGAGACCTCTTTGCGTCAGCAGAAGCACAAGGCGGGGGCGAAACTAATTGCCTGTCACTAGCTAATAGCCTGTTTCATCTTACACCAGAGCATGCGAGAAGTGAAGTGAGTACAGCCTCCGAGGCCTCTTATGGCCTCGATGTCCCCTGCACTGTGGATGAGTCCCGGTCCACCTGCTCTCCCCTTGGGAACCACATCCTATGAGCCTGACCAGGTGTTCTTCCCAGCTGCCAGGGCTCCCAAGATACACTGGGGCCCAGGCTCACCTTCCCTCAACCAAACCAACTCTTTTCAAATCCTCTGAACCTGAAACAGGGCCAACCCAAACACAGAAGTGACAGCTCCACACTCTGACACACTATCAGGTCCCCTCATTTGTCATCTTCCCGCCTCTGCAGTCCCCAGGGGTTCAGAGCCTCCTCTGTGTAGAGGATGCTCTACACGAAGATATATCTCTAAACTAGCCTGCACCTGGATACGGGCAGAGGTCCCACATGGAGCCATGTCTGCCTCCACCCTGCCTCTCCTTCATAGACTGAATAGAGGCTCCCTTCCAGCTTCCTTTATTTGTATTTAATAACAGCAACATTAAAGACTAGGAAGTTAATAGGAGAGCTGAATTGCTTTATCAAAATGTTGAAAAGCCTGTGAATCTTCCCAGCATCCATAGCACTGTCCTGGAAAAAGCTGAGGGGCCACATGGCTGTGGCTTTCTCTCCGCTCAAGACCTCTCAGGCCATCAGAGTGTGTCCACAGGGGCAATTCACATGTTTCCTTCTTTACCACCTCCTGGTTAGAGAAGGGTGCTCTGTGGGGTTTTGAAGGAGGCACCTCACCCCCAAGAATTCCCCAGTATCAGGCACATATCTGGAAATGAGGTGAGAGTTGTAGCTGGCTTCTATTTCTTTCTCTCCTACTTGCTGGCTGGAGAACACTATTGTGGCCAAGGGCTTTCTGTTTTGAATTGCCCACATCAGCCTCCCTACCTCAGCCCTGAGCTAAGCTTCTGCTTTCAGGAGTTAAAAGCACACAAGTTTTTGGTCCCTTTGTCTGCCCTCTCTTGCCTGGGGACAGGGTCCTTTCTTCCTCCTAGGTAAACTACAGACGTTCTCCAGGCTGGCACTCCTCCCTCAGTCCAGCTCACCCCTCCTACCCAAGTTCACAAGCATGCCCTTGAGAAGCCCAGAGCTTTCTGGGTTGGCCCCTGTGTGCCCAAGGGTCCCAGCATGTCCCACCCCAAACCAGGGGGTACTCACCAAAGCGGCCCATCATCATCCTGTAAACAAGAACAAAGAGTCAGATGGTCACTCAGACCAGGTCTTAAGAAGGGGACAGGTAGAGCCAAGCAGACCCCAGCACCCAGCCCCAGTGAGGGGCATGTGCAGATGACATCAGCACCTGTGACAGCAAACTTCCCTCTTTCCTGACACAGGGACCACCCTGGTATGCCATTTGGAGGGGACAGACATAACAGATCATGGGACATAGGAGTATATTGATTCTGGTCAAATTTCCTCACAGCCATACCCATTAAATAGAGCAGTGTTTCTCAATCTGTGAGTCGTGGCATCCCCTTCGGGAAGTCCAGAGACCCTTCCACAGAGTTATGTAATCAGATGCTCTGTATATCGGATATTTACATTATGGTTCATAACAGTAGCAAAATTACTTTTATGAAGTAGCAATGAAAATAATTGTATGGTTGGGGACCCCACAACATGAGGAACTGTATGGAAGGAGCCTAGACTAGAAAAGCCATTTGAATGCTTAAAGAGTAATGAGCTGTTGTGAGAACTTGGAAAATAATGCTGAGAAATCTCACTGGTAAAGTTAGGAGGAAAGTTTGAAAGTCCCTCAAATACTCTATGGGGCTTTTTCAATTTTACTTTTACCTTTTTCTGTTTTGCCTGTATTTATGTCTGTGAGGATGTTGGATCCTGGAGTTGTTACAGACAGTTGTGAGCTGCCATGTGGGTGCTGGGAATTGAACCCAGGTTTCTGGAAGAGCAGTCAGTGCTCTTAACTGCTGAGCCATCTCTCCTGCACCCTCTATGGAGCTTTTCATGTGATATTTTGAAATAATCCGTGGCTCTGGGCAGCTGGGACTCAAGACTCAGCCATGATAAACAAGAGACCAGCATCAATGAGCTAAAATCTGGGAAGTGTTTCCGTAGGGTTAGTATACAGATGCTGTGTTTCAATGGGGGCCAAGGCTGCACCTGGGGCTGGCATCTGAACTTGGTAAGGTGGTGTTGGTTTTGAAAGTATGAAAGGGTCACAGAGGAATGCTGAAGCCCGGCACTAAGACCAGAAGAAACCCTTGATGAAGGGGCAAATTCCTTTGCAGTAGAAGCCCAGGGATTGAAGGGGTCATGGAGAAAAAGGTTGAGGTTTGGGAGATGTGGTAGGGTCAGAGTCCCTGAAGAGAGAGGCCAGGATGCCATGGGTGGAGACCACAGCATTTTAGAGATGCCAGTACTACGGGGTGATCACTAAAGACATTGGCAGGTATGGCATGGGGTCAGGGTGAGCCTAGGAGACAAACTGTGTGTACTGCAGAGGGGAGAGCCAGAAAGGTAAAGCTTCACAAGGCTCCTTGAAGCCCAGAAGATAGTGAGTCCCAGACACTAAGCTATTTACACTGTTGGAGGTTGGTTTTGCTTTGAGTTGACTCTGACTGTGGCTTGAGAAAGCAGGTTGAATAAGCCAGTGAGCAATGCTTTTCCATGACCTCAGCCTGAGGATCTACCTCCAGGTTCCTTCCTTGAGTCCTGACTTCTCTCAGTGATAGACTACAACTGTAGGCTGGAATAAACCATCTACCCCTCAGTTGCTTTTGGTCAAGGTGTTTATCACAACTACGGAAAGTAAACTAAGATAGTTTGGCTGCAGCTAACCCAGCCACCTCAAAGACCTGTGGAGTCATGGTCCCGGAGGATGAGGGTGAGCTTCCTGTGAAGCTCTGCTACTATCCACATGCTCTCTTCCTGAGATTCATACAGTCCCTAGGCACCAACCTCTAGGGCAAGTGCTTGAGCTCCGTCTTATTAAATACTTTCTAAACAGACCTACTATATGCAGAACATAAAGACACAGGACCAAACACCTGAGCCTGGCCTTGGCCAGACAGAGTTTCTCCTCCACAGCTCAGAGCTAGTAACAGGAAAGATCATGAAAGGCTACAGGAATAGCAAGACCATTCACTCCCATTTGGCTAGCAAGCTGGAAGGACTTCCTGGAGGGAGAGCCCTCTGGGAAACCAGAAGGACAGATGGAAGATATCAGTTAAGTGTTAACAATGTGCCAGGTGTAGTGTGCACACCTTTGATCCCAGGACTCCCGAGGCAGAAGCAGGCAGATTTCTGGGAGTTCAAAGCCAGCCTGGTCTAGTAAGACTCTTTCTCAAAACAAAACAAAAACAAAACTAACCGTGGGCCTGTGCATCTGCAGAGAAGGCAGGGTATAGCCACAGGTACACAGCAGGGACCATGCTCTCTGCAGATGTGAGAAGCACCTGAAGCTCTATAGCTATCACAGCCCCTGTGGCCACCAGGATGGGGGTGGGGTGGACAGGAGAACCCAGCTTGGGGGGTTAGATAGGAGGCCAACAGGCAGACAAGGGACTAGAAAGATCCCAGTTTCTTCCTTGGCTACGTAGAAAATTCTGACATCCTGCAGAAATGGCTTGACAGAGGTGTCCCCTCCCTAACTCCAGGGTGCTCCTGCCCCTAAAAATGCCACCATGGCCACAGAACTCCCCAAGTCCCCACCCTGTGTCTGATCTTACATTCTACACCTGTCAGCCTGACTGCCTCCCGCCCCTGGAACAGAGGAGTCATGTCCATCACCTGCCCTGCTCCTCCCATGACCAGCTCTGGTGGGCACACAGGAGTGCTGGACACAGCTGGTGGGCTGTCAGGAGGGCATGGCCAAACCTCTCTCTGCTTTTAGGTTTTGCCCCACAACTGTGGAGCCGGTCCCCCTCGCCCTGAGCAGACTGCAATAGATGGCTTTGGCTACTTTCCACAGCCCCACAGGCCCCTGATCACTCAAGGTCATTAGGCAGAGTCTGTTTTCCCAAATCCCTAGCTCAGGATGACCCAGACTTACTCTGACCCACAGAAAAAAAGGCACAGTACAGGAATCTGGGATGAGACCAGGATGAGGATACTCAGCCTCTCAGAGCATGAAGGGAACTGGAGAGGAAGCTCAGCCTATGAGGAAAGGCAGTATGAGAGGCTGCCTGGGTCCATCAGGACCTGGGAAATACCACAGGACCTGTCACAGCAAGATAATCAGACTTGCCTGACTGAGTCCATTCCCACGGCTGACTGCAGGCGTATGAGTAAAATGAAATGAGGTGGTATCTCAAGTCAGGACACCAAGCCCCCTCCACACCTTACATTCCCTGAACTCACCCTCACCCTCCTGCAGTCACAGACCCACGGTGCTGGCACAACACAGTCCCCTCCCCGCAGCTCTGTGCTCTTCCTTGAGGGCTGCACAGAGCAGGATGGAACACACACATGACAGGGCACACCGCCATAACGTCAGCTTCTCTGGCAGTCCATTCACCATTCCTGAGTGGACTCAGTGACAGTCAGCTTCTGAAAGGCTATAGACACGCAGCCTTAGCATCCCTGTGAATGGAGCTGGTGAGCTAACTGACACCGTCGATGTTTTAAACATTGAAATAGGCTCTTTCTGGAGCAAAAGTGGTGAGTTCCTAATTCGTGGGGCATTGTGGGACCACACACATGGTGCACTATCTAGTTTGTTATTAGGGTATAGTCCCTTTAGGCTTTTGAAATTTCTGGCTTTCTCAAAGAGACCAGAGGACTCAACAGTATCTAGCATAGGGCAGTTTCTGACTGGTCACATGGTTCCTCCCTCTAAAGAAGCAACTGGTGATTGGCAAGTGAAGAGGAAGGACACATAGTCTCCATGGCTATCCTGAGCCAACACACCTGGCACCCAGACATTGTTTTAAATCTTTTGTGTGTGTTGAGGATGGAGGGGAGGCTTTGAGACAGGGTTTCTATATGTAACTCTGACTGTCCTGGAACTTGCTCTGTAGACCAGTCTGACCTCTAACCCAGACATCCACTTGCCTCTGCCTCCTGGTTGCTGGAATTCAAGGTGTATGCCACTACTGCCTAGCTTAATTTTTTTTAGTGAGAGAGAGAGAAAGAGAGAGAGAGAAAGAGAGAGAGAGAGAAGTCAGAGTCTGACTCACCATCTTGTTTTTTGAGGCAGGGTCTCTCACTGCACCTAGAGCTCACGGATTTGGCTAGACAAGTTGACCAACAGGCTCCAAAAATCCTCCTGTCTCTACCCCCCCCCCAATGCGGTTACAGACATACACCCCATAACTGAATGTTTTTTATGTGGTGCTGAGGATCAGTTCCTCATGCTCCCACAGCAAGCACTTAACTGACCAAACCATCCCTTCAGTTCACCTTCTAAAATAAGGAATTAGAAAACATCTGAGGGTAGAGACACTGGTATGGAACTCCCGGAAGAAAGTGTGTGGAGGAAGGAGGCAGGCAGGTATCCACACACAAAAGCATACACTGAGACTAAAGAATATGGAGGAACACAGGCTCACCCAGGCCACTGTCCCTGGCTGAAGCCAGAATCTGGGGCCTGGCTGGCATGAGGTGTGGGTCCCTGGGGGGCCAGTAAGCATGAGGTTAAAACTCCAAGGGGCAATGGCCATCACTTACTCTGTGGTCGTGGTCAGTTCCTCTGAGATGTGACTGGAATGCAGCAGGCCTTCCCGCTTCTGGAAACCGCAAAGCAAGCAAGTCAACACACAGACCATGTGGTGGGAGTGAAGCAGAGAACACATGCTGAGCTCCTGGTGACCCTGGGCAGGATGCCAGCCTAGAAAGGGCCACATGCCCAGTGCACACGTCATACCTGGCCACAAAGGGGACCCTTTCAGTGTCTGTGACTGTCCCCAAATTGTTCTCCACGATGCCCTGGGATATGGTCACTAAGAAAAGTTCAAGAGAAACATCCCAGGTAAGACACACCAAATAAGGGTCATATTCTGCAGCTGGGGCAGGGGACGTGAGCAGTTAGGAAGTTCACGAGTCATGCTGGGGAGACACTAGAGAAAGGACATGTGGGCAATGAACCATACAGAAGGCCCCAAGCATGTCTACCCAGGACCTCGGAACTTGCTTTTCCTTGGTGGCTTCCAATACAGTGAAGAGAGGCCACACAATGATGAGTAGTAGTGATGCACTCAGGAGCTGGAGTGAGTAGCAGAAACTGAGGGCCACAGCCATGAACCTGGGACACTAAAGACAGCCAGCGGGAGCAAAACAGGGCAAAGAGGACATTGGCTTCCCTGAAGCCAGCAGTTCTGGGAGAAGAAATCCACCTGCCACTTGAAGCCCCCGTTAGTGGCGCTTCACCCCAGAAACCCTGGCAGGCACATGGAGGCCAGGAGGAGAAGAGAAGGGATGGTGAATGGCAGACCATATGTACTGGGAGTTCCCAAAGGCCAGCCAAAGTAACCAGAACCACAGGTCCCTGCTTGAAGCTCCTGTAGAACAGTAATCTGCCCTATCCAGGGGCCCCCTGCATTCCTCCCTGTACTGACCTCCAGGGATCTTGTAGACTTGTTCTTATTAACAAGTAACAGCAGCTGGTGACTTCAGCGTGGCTCAGCCCCGGCCTCACACCAACTGGCACTCAAAAGCCCACCAAAAAGACTTCTAGGTATATTTGGTTCACTTATTTGCATGCTAAGCATTCGAGGTGCCTATTAATTGCTAGGCATTGGGGGAAATCATTGGTAATCTTGGAGCTGGATAATCGAATGGTTAGCAACATCACCCGAGTTTATAGGGAAACCACAGCAGCCCTGAGAAATCAAGAGGCCTGCCCCAAGCTTTCTCTGCTGGGGGTAAGCAAGGCTTGGCCTTCATGCCTTCCAGCCTTGAAAAGACACAAGCCTCGCTTTACCTCAAATAAGATCATGGGTTACCTGAGCAAGCATATGGACAGCCCACAGGACCTCAGGAGAGGCAGAAAGAACTCTGAGCAGGGCCTGGGGGCTACTTCTGAGAAGCTGCCATGCAGCTGAACATCCTGACCTGGTCTCTTCTACTTTGGGCTCTGCACAGACAACCCAGGAACGCTGGACAAGGCACAGCATGCTGGACGGGGCTCGCTGGGGGCAGTCAGACTTTCCAAAAACCCAAGCTTGTCTTGGACCAATGTGTAAGACTGAAAGGCAATACCCGGACGGTGAGCCTGCTCAGCACTCTTGGGGCCCCAGGCTGACGTAGGTAGGTTTAGGAACCATTTTCCCATGTGTCCTTGGGAAGCCATTCCTGGCCCACTGCCTATGAGCCAGCAGCCAAGACTAGGGCCACAGGAATGGTCCCCCTGGGTCTGCGTCACTCTCGCTGACCACAAACATCCTGATTGGGAAGGGAGCAGGGAGAAATGACAGGTGACCTTCACTTAATGTCAGAAAGGCCCTTCCCGGCAGGGTACAGCTAAGCTCCCAGAATAGAAGGGAGGTCAGAATGGCTTCAGAAACACAGGCTCAGCCAGGCCATCATGGACCACAGACCACAAAACAGATAAGTTAAAAATTCAGAGAACAGAGTGAAGCTGAGTGCCTCCAATAACATAAACACCAGTGTCATACAGGTCCCAACCGTGACCTCAGCCCTTTGGCAGACATGATGGCTCTCCCAGGCCAGATGGGTTTTCCTCACTTGGGGTCCCCACAAGTTCAGGCGAATGCCTAGCACCCGTAGTGCTTAATACATGTTTAAATGTAATACATGGTCAAATCTTGCACAGGAACCAAGTCGGACCAGCATCTGTACTCACGAATGCTAAAGCACAGGACATTACATATGGCAAATCCACGCCTGGCCCCATTACCAGGACCCTAGGTCCTGGCTCCCTTCACTAAGTAAATCAAGAAAAATGAAGCTAAAAAAAAGAGATAATGGGGAATGATGGCTTATAATATGGAGCAAATGTGGAGAGCCTTTAATTTGGGTGTCTATTTCATTCTGCCGGTCGCAGCCTCCTCCAGTGAGTAATAAGCACATTCAAGGGGATTGAATTCCGACTCAGTGGCTTTGGAGAGAAATGAACCCTCTTTTCAGAAATCTGGGAAATTAAACCTCAACACCCGTGTGCCACTCTTCAAATCAACGCCATTGTTCCTGCTCCAATCATTTCTCAAAGAGCCAGGGTGAGATATGCATTTTATCAAGAGGGAAAAATACAAGGTAGCCTCTTGGGATGAGGAAAAAAAGCTGGAAAACTACGAGAAGAAAAAGTCAGCTTGCCTTGCCAACAGAGAGCCAGACAAAGAGACAGCCCGGTGTACTTACCCGGACAACCACCACCTGCACAGTGACATGCTCCGGAAGGTGGATGGGGGCCCTGAAGTGCATAGCCAGGGAGACGAGGAGGTGAAGAATGGCCACCAGGTTTTTCCCATGGATAGCTTTGGGTGGAGAGGGAAGAAACAGAGGCCTCAAGTCAGTTGGGGACCATTTCAAGGGTATGTCTCAAGGAGACCTCTGGGAGACAAAAGGACCTCAGACAGAGAGGGCTGATAGGGCCCCCCAGGGGACTTATGCTTATACCTGACTCCCCCCCCCCTTTGGTCAGGTTTTCACTATATAATCCTTTCTGCCCTAGAACAGCTGGCCTCAAACACACAATGATGATCCACCTGCCTCAGCTTCCTGAATGCTAGGATTAAAGGCGTGTATGTCACTGCACCTGGTCCCGGCAGCCACTTTTAAAGGTATCATACTTTATAAAGCAGAGAATTGGGGGTTGCAAGGACAAGGACAGATCATAGCTACATACCCACCACAATAGTACATGTCATTATTATTGGCACTGGGCACACTTCTGCTGCTATACAATCAGCTGTCCCCATGAGGTGAGTGGCAAGGTTAGCAGGGTCTGCTCTATGTCCCAGTCGGTCGTGGATGCCTGCCCTGACTCTCACGGAATATAATGTTTCAGGCAGGTTATAGCAAACCTGTGGAGGGATTTGCAGCTGATAAGACACCTCCTACCCACAGCCCCAGCACCTGGGTTAGAAGGATGGGTCTCCCCAAAGTCATGCTAAGAAACCAGGGGCAGAGCCATCCCCTTCTCCACAGCCAAGATCTGAACTCTCTGTGCAGGCCACAGAGCCCTGACATTGAAGGGGAAGCTTGGGCATCATAACTCATCACACCTGCCTTGCAAGGAGCCAGAGGAGGTGGGGACATGGACAGGACAGAAGCGATCAGCTTTTTCAGTCAGCTCATCCCCCTTTTGCTCTCTCCGAGCTATGAACTATGATGCCACAAACCCCTCAAGCCAGCTGACAGATAACATTCCTGAGCTAGCGCTGGCTCCTTGCATCTGGCCTCAGTAGGCTGACCCCATATGGGTTCACTTTATGCCACTACACTGGGTGTTTAATTATGTCAAGTCCCAACAAAAGCTCCTTGGATGAGGCATATAAACCCCAGCATTTAGAAGGTGGAGATAGGAGAATCAGGACTAAAAGGCCAACCTTGGTTACATATTGAGTCCAAGGCTAGCCTGGGCTACATGAGACTCTTAAAAATAATACAAGGTCTGAGGATACATCTCAGTCCATGAAATGTTTGCAACACAAGCATGAGGACTCAAGTTGGAGTTTTAAAAAAGCCAACTGTGGTAGCTAGTAATCCCAGCACACCTCACTGGTGAGGTGAAGGTTTCAGTGAGAGATCCTACCTCAAAACAAACAAGGTACATGGTTTCTAAGGAATGCTGCCTGAAGCTGACCTCTGGCCTCCATATATGTGCACTCAGACTCACAAAAATAAACAACAAACACATGAACAGATAAAAACCTTAGTGCTAAAGCAGAGGGGAGTGTGTGTGTGTGTGTGTGTGTGTGTGTGTGTGTGTGTGTGTGTAAGGAGGTGGGGGGGGCAAGCACTGGTGTGTGACTGTGCCCTTCGTGTGCTCTCCACTCTAGATTCCCCAGACCTCTCCTCTGTCGCCCAGCCTCTGACAGAACAGGTCAAGAGGATGCCCTGGCTTTTTTAACCACAAGGGATGATTGATGAGAACATGGAAAGACAAAGGGACACTTCCTTTCAACAATCCAACATGGAGGCCACTCACAGTCCACATTCCAACGCAGTGGCCAGCCGTGGGGCCGAAGTAGGTCTTGCACAGATTCGAGGACAGTCTGCAACTTCTGCTTTTGCCCGATTTCAGACTGTGTCACCTCAGCCACATTCAGCTTGCAGTGTCCCAGCTTTTCTGCAGAGACAAAGACAAGGTCATGAGGCAGAGTGTCCGAGCAGGAGGAGCTGGAGTCACCTCTGCCCTGGCTGGAGCAGGGGCACTAGGAGGTCTGAAGTCTTAGCCCAAATCCCTGGACCAGAGGTTCAGTGCCGAGTCAGGAAGCTCTGGGCTCGCAAAGTCATTTCTACTGCAAGAAAATGATGCTACAGTAAGTAAGGGGGCAGGTGAGGATGAACCAGGCACTCAGGAACAACTTATGTACATGAAAAAGAAAAGAACCCTTCATGATGCAGCTGGGGACCAAGTATGGCTGTGGTTGTGGTCAAACGCTGCATGGCACAGGGGAAGGACAGAGGTGCTCAAAAGTTGTTCTCTGATCTGCTGTCGGCTAGTACCTTCTAGATGTGCATAGGAAACTGCACCCATGAAACCTCAACCACATGGCTGCATGAAGAAGACTGGACAATGACAATACCAGTTGACAAGCCAACATGGATAGGAGAAATCCCACAAAGCCACACCCCTAGATGAAGAACCACAGGCAATTGATGGCTGCTGGGAAGAGGAAAACCTATCTTCTCCAGGGACAATGAGCTGCCTGATTGATTATTCAATACGAAGTAGTCAGCCCTAAAGACATACATATATGAACAGCACTAAATGTACTCATTTAGTTGTAAATACACACACACACACACACACACACACACACACACAAATTAATTAAAAAGAGGTCATGAAGTAGAGAGTGAGGGAGCAGGGGTACAAGGGACAAGATGGAAAGATAGTAATGACATAAATACAGTACTCATATATAAAGTTCTAAAAAAAAAAAAACCCTTAAAAATTTATATTAAAACAAAAGCTAGCAGGATATGGTGGCTTATACCTTTAACCCTAACAGGAGGCAGAGGCAGGTAGATTCCTCTGAGTTCAAGGTCAGACTGAACAACACAGCAAACTCCAAGCCTGTCAGGGTTACACAGTGAAATCTTGTCTGAAAAAAGGAAAAAGTTGTCGTCATCTGACCTTTAGGTGCACACACATTACTCTCTCTCTCTCTCTCTCTCTCTCTCTCTCACACACACACACACACACACACACACACACACACACTCTCACACCATACACTAACGATAATAATAACAATTTAAAAATAGAAGCAAAAGGCACAGGAGGGGGTGAGGAAGCAAGTTACTGGGTCAGCACAGAGGGTGACTACAGAAAGCACAGGAAGGGACGGTGTCCCACTAGGACCCAGACTGCGAACTCTGATAAACACAAGAAGAAAATTTCGAGGATGCTTCCCTGCACCCCAAGGTCCTTCTCCTATCTCTAACATTCTCACACTGCAAGGAGTTTGATTGGAGATTTGCCACGTTTGTGACTCTGTTGTTTCTAAGAGAGGGCAGGAAGCACTCAGGAGGAGTCTGGTTGAAAATTGTCACATTTGCTCAGGATTCAATTACCTAGATGGAGACCCAGCCACCTTCAATTTCCTTAGGGAATGGAGGAGGCAGCAGGTGGGAGCAGGTAGCCACAGATACAGCAGCCAGTACTTGGGAGCTCCTGCCGAATGCAGGGAGCCCTGTTCCCTCCTGGTCTTTAATTCCAAGATGTGACATTTCCTGACAGGGCTCCTCTGCCAGCTGACAAAGGCCTAGACCCAGGGTGACTGGAGGCAATTTCCTAGAATGTGATTACCATGTCCTTAGCCCGGGATGCAGGGCTGCCATCAGCCACATTGCCACTGAGATCGTGAACCCCACCAAAGCCCCACAAAGTTCTACTGCATACATTTTAGCTGGGCCCAGGACTTTGGTGTTCTTGCCCCAATTCCCAGCTCCTGAAGTTAAAATGGTGAGTTCTCCTGCAGGAGAACTGTGAGATGAGATGGCATACGACAATCTACTACACAAGGCACAGCCCTTCAATCACATGTTCACTTAACAAACAGCTACTGAGCACAGGAGCTTAAGATGCGTGGACAAGAGAGGCCCTCAGTGGAGGGACAGACAGTGAATGTGACAACCAGGAAAGACCATGGACAGACACATGGCAGGCTGGGCGGAGGTGAGTGTAATGGAGAAAACAAATCTGGAGATAAGGGCTCCTGCTTCCATGGATTCTCACCACCTGTCACCTGTGTCACAGGTCCCACAGGGACACCCACAGCTGTGCGAATGTGAGCAACGTGAAAACACACAGCTGTAGTGGGATATTCACTTTGTCTCCTTCTGTGGCACTGACCACACCCACTGGGGGTGGAGCCAGGGGCGGAAGTGACCTGGGGAACTAGGTCAGAGGAGGCTCGGGAGAATGCTCTCTTGCCAGCTGCACAGGGACAGGAGGACCTCCAGAGGCATTCTTGGAAGCAGGAACCTGTTGGTGTTCACCTGTCTATGCTGTGAGTTATTTCTCCCTGAATAAACATCTGTTCAGCCTAATTGTTTATCCTGATCCCTATTAAACCGTGATACACAGCAAGCCAGGCCCACATGTATGCAGCAACCAAGGCGAGGAAACAGAAGGAAGGGACAAAGAGAACCCAGCATGCCCTCTTGTCCCCTGCCACCAGCCACATCGCCTGGAATGGCAGAGGAGGAGACAACAGAAAAGGGAAGGAAACCCATCAGTCAGGGCTGGCTAAGGAAGAGACGAGCGAGTGGTGCCTCTTTCTCCCAGGCCTTGGACCAGAAGTCTCAGACAAAGTGTTGGATGTTTTCTTCTCCGAGTCTTTTAAAGTGTGTATCTAAACACAGTTACATTCTAAGGTCTGAGGGTTAGTTAGGATGGTGTCTTAATTAGGGCCGCTATTGCTGTGATGAAACACCATAACCAAATTAACGAGAGAAAAGGGCTTATTTTGCTTATATAACCCTAACATAGTCTATCATCTAAAGCAGTCAGGACAGGAACTCAGACAGGGCAGGAACCTGGAGGCAGGAACTGATGCAGAGGCCCTGGACCAGTGCTGTGCTTACCCTCATGACTTGCTCAGCTTGCTTTCTTTTATTTTTTGAGACAGGATCTCTCTACATAATCCTAGCTGTCCTAGAACTCACTATGTAGACCTGGCCTCAAACACAGAGATCTGCTTGCCTCTGCCTCCCAACTTCTGGGATCAAGGGCGTGTGCCTCCATCTCCTGGCTTTAGCCTGCTTTCTTATGGAAGCTTGGGACCTAAGTCCCATCTCCAGGACACAAAAAGCAAGGCGTGTTGGTGTGCACATCTAAATCCCAGCATTCCTGTAGGAGCAAGAATGAAGGTGCAGACAAGACCCATCTAGCCTGGAGCAAGCTGAGGTAAGTAAGAGACCCTGCCTCACACACAGGGGAAGGAGGAATGACACCTGAAATTGTCTGACCTCTGACCTCCACATATGCATCATGACACACACATGCCCCCCTTCTCATGTACATGCCCATGCAAAAAATAATTCAAATAAATCTTTAAAACTACTTCCTCCTCGGGGTCCCTTCCCACATGCTGATCTCACCAGACTTTTTTGCTGGGTCCCCCTCTTCTTGACCAGTCCTGGATCCACTGCTGAAATCGTATTGTGCAGCGAGCAACTTTTATTTGATCTAACTCTGCCTTTGGAAAGCTCAAGAGCCCAACACCTACATCAAGGTTACTCCTGGGATCCCTGGTCTCATGGGCCTTGTGAGTTATCATTGCATCTTATCAGAAACAGCACTGCACATACAACCAGGCAAAGATGTGCTGAGTGACGTCCTCTTCAGCCTTGAATACTCCTCTCATTGTCCTTTTCTCTGTCCAAACCACTTGACATAAGAGGCTTGCAAGCTGCTTTTTTTCAAGTACTGACTGGAGATATTCAAATGAGAGGCTATAACAACCACTCCACAATACAAAGACAGCAGAGCTTGGGCTGGCCTCAAGCCTCACATTACACAGCCTGGAGAAGCAATATGGTGGGATTTACAGCCACTGTGGCTTCAGGTCAGTGCTGCATCTACCAGGCAAACTAAAGAGGGAACCAAGGGGTCAACAACATCTGCTCTGAAAGATGGACCAGGGCAGGCATCAGGGTTGTTCACGGTTAACCATGGCCAGTACAGATGCAAAGCCAGAGTCTGACCGATGATACCAAGATTCAGCACCAACTTGAAGGATTGCTCCATGAAAAGGCATTGCCATAGGTGAGTGTTGGGGGTCAGAGGTTAAGAATAGCACTTGCTACTCAGTTGTGAGAACCAAGTTCAGATTCCAGTACCCAAGTCAGATGGCTCACAAACAGCTCCAAGAGAAAAACTGGGTGGCAGTACCAACCTATAATCCCAGCACAGATGGGGGTGGGTGCAGAGGCAGAGTCAGGAAGGTCCCTAGAATTCAATGGCCAGTTACTCTTGTCAAATTGGTGAGCTCCTGAACCAGCGAGGGGGGGGGGACAACTGGCAACCAAGAAAGACATTTGACACCTCTGGCCTCCACTTGAACACACATACGTGTATACATGCACCTGTGTGTACACACACACACACACATTGTCCTTGCCAGCCCAATCACCAAGTCCAAGAACCAGAAAGAAGTTAAGTTGGTACCACACTCAAACCCCTGGTGGCAGGGGTAGCTTCCCCATCTACCGAGACATTGTGACATGCCATTCAAAGCTCAGTGTGCTCCCTTGGCCTCAACTGACTGTCAGCTCCAATGCCCAGTTTGAAGACAGGGCAAGCAGCTAGCAGAGGACAGAGCTGAACATGAGTGTGCCATTCTTTTCAGCAAACCAGTTCCTGTAGGAAGACACTGCAGAGCACAGCCAGAACACTGGTGTTTTTTTACCATAAAAATCCAGGTATTTACGAAGCCATCCTCACAGTCCAGCTGTATTCTTTAAACAAAATTATTAATCAATTAATGTATTTATTGTATGGGAGTCTGTATCTCTAGGCATCCATGACACAGCATGGGTGTGGAAGCCATGGAACAGTTTTGGGGGTCAGTTCTCTCCTTCCAAAGACCATCAGCCTAGTGATACACACCCTTACCCAAGGATCTCAGCAATTCTCCAGCCTCAATGCTGACCCACAGAACCTTATTCTAAGACGAGGATTCTTAACCAAATTTCCGTGTTCAGTCTTAACCATTTGGTATTTGGCCTAGTGAGGAGTTTGCAACTCTTCTCCAAGGAATGGTTGAGCAGCTGTAGTCCATCTAACTCTGCAGCCAAAGCTCCTATTTCTGGTCCCAGCATGAGGCTCCAGACATGCAGACCCCAAATCCTCAACCGTGAGGCCCCCAGCTCTTCAGTCATTCACTAGCTGCTCAGTACAAACCTCTGGCCCCTACCCTCCCTTCCTGTGACAGCTTTAGCTCCAAAACATCTGTCCACATCTGCATTCCAAACCCTGGCCAGAGCCTTTTCAGAAGCCTGAGGCTCCAAAAAGAGCCCCTGAGCCACACCTAGCTCCAACTCCAGACCCTCCTCCCCATCCATTCTGCACCTAGAAGCCTGAGTGACCTTTGTAAAATCCAGCTCAGAACACAGCATGGTCTAGTTCAAAACTCCCAGTGGCTCTTGTGATATGGAAAGAAGGCCTTTGTCTACCAGGGCTGATCCTGTCTATCTTCCTAGCCTTGCCCCAGATCCTGCCTCCCTCCCTGCTCCACAAGAGGCTCTGCCTGGCCACAGAGCCTCCGCCTCTGAGGTTGTATGTGGAACTCTGCTGGGCTGGGAGTTCCCCAGAGAGGCCACCATGGCCACCCAGTCACTCAGCACCCCATAATCTCACCATCCCTTCCTTCACTGGCCATCACCTTGGCTAAGGATCAGACCTTCCCATCATTATCATTCGCCTGGCACTATACACCTCCAGCAATGTGAAGCGGTGGACTCTGCACCAGCCCTGGAAAAAAGGAATATTTAGCAACACCAAGGAAAGAACGATCAGGGCTGGAGCTACGACTTGGTGCTTAAGAGCACTCACTGGCTGATCTTCTAGAAGACCTGGGCTCAATTCCCAGCACACATAGCAGCTCACAACCACTCATAAACTCCAGTTCCGGGGGATCTGTTGCCCTCTTCTGGCTGCCATAGGCACTGCAAGCAAGTAGTGCATAGACACACACTCATACACAAAATCGAAATAAATAAATCTTTAAAAAAGAAAAATAAAAGAGCAATCAGATGGATATACATCGGTCCATCTTTTATAGGACAAGATGTCTAAATCCTTTAAAGATGTCATAAAAGACAGAAGAGGAGTCAGGTGGTGGTGGCAGAGGCAGGTGGATCTCTGTGAGTTCGAGGCCAGCCTGGTTTACAAAGTTACACAGAGAACCCCTGTCTTGAAAAACAAAGAGAGAGAGAGAGAGAGAGAGAGAGAGAGAGAGAGAGAGAGAGAAAGGGAAGAAGTCAGGAAAGAACAGGGGTATCATAAAATGCCCTGAATGAGAAGGCATTTGGAGACATTGGGTCACTGGGCCTGTCCTTGGGCTGCTATGGAAACCTGTGCCCAAGTCACCTAATCAACAGCCCAAAGAGAAGAGCCTTGTGCAAGCCTGAGTGAGAGTCAGTATCTTAACCCAGTCCCACAGCCACCAAGCCTTAGATGGAGATGACAGCACAGCCCACACTCACAACAACCCAAGTGCTAGGATGATGAGCATGAATCCCCACACTGGCTGAGGCATCATAAATCTCACATTGGGTGTTACATCCCTCACCCCTTACCTCATCCTTCTCTATTCTCCTGGCCATCTTACCTCATTTTCCCCAGGAGCTCAGACCCCAGAGCTTGGCAAAGTCACCCACTCTGGTCAAATGATGTGACACCTGCAAGGCCATTAGACCTCCTGACCCCATGGCATCTGTTACAGTCTCTCCAGATAGACAGCATGCTCCTGAGCAGAGACATCTGCCTCAGGAGTCACTGACCTAGAGGCCAACATTCAGCAAGGGTCAGGAGGATTTGATGGAGAGGCTGCCCACCTGTCCAGCGGAGAAACCATGAAGACAGAAGGAAACGAAACACAGCTAGGGCCACCAGGAGGTATAAACCAAGCTTTGGGTCTGCTCCCGGTGCAAGGAGGAATGTGCCACATGGTAGGGTCCTGGAACTCACCCAGCAGCTTCTGAAGCACCTGGCCATCGTAGAGGTCTTCTTCCAGCTGCTTCACAATGATGCGCTCCTCTGCCAGCACGTCATTGATCCAGTCCAGGAGCACCTGGGGAGGTGAGAGGCGTGTCATAAGGTTGCCAGAAAAAGCAGGGTCCGAGCAGACTCACATGGGCAGCCACCCAAACACAAGGGCAACCAGACACCTACCTTGTGACCATGGAGGGCAACAGGTGCCTGTTGGCCCATGACCAGAGCAGGTGTGGAGAACTAGACCTAGCATGGAGCTGGGACTTCCTACGGGCCCTGCGGGACCATGGGTAATGTAATGGGTGACACATGTATCCCATAAGAAGGGTTCATGGCTCCACTTGGGCACTGGGTGCTAAATGAGTAAGTGCTGAGAAGAGAGGGGGAAGGGGGCTGTGAAGCATCAACCCCTCTCCTAGCCTCCAGAGTCCCAGGCTAATGCCAGAGGTTCCAGCCTGGCTCTGTTGTTCAGTGCACTCTGTTGACCATTCAGCCAATGGAGAATCCACCTGTGTATCCCCCAGGGATCGCAAAGCTGTGCAGTGTTCACTCCAATCCATTTTAGAATGTTGTCCTGTCCCTGAACAGAAACCAGGCCTCCTCCAACAGCTCTGCACCTCTCCATCTCCTGTTCCTGAGACCCATCAATGGAATTCCACAGTATGCAAGCTCCTCACTTTTCTTAACAGGTTTTCCCACTCATCATGGGGGGGAGCACACTGTGAAAGCAAGCCACCTGCCCTGTTAATTGCCTCTGTGTCAGGGGGCTTCCCAAGGACAGTACTCGTTCACCATTCCACCCAGAATAAAGCAGATACCCACCTAGACTGCAGCCATGACAATCAGACTATGGCTTTCCCATGCCAGCAAAGTGAATTAAGCTATCTAATTGGACCCCTGAGCCCCTGGGAGGTAGAAGTCTGTGGCCACCCTCAGAAAAATCAAAGTGCACAAATCCAAACGCAGTGTCTTGTCACTCTCTGAAAAAGCAGTGGCTGAGAAAACGGTGACAAAGCCAAGTGCCCTCAAATCCTGACCAGCTTCCAAGTGGCACAGGAGACTGAATCAGATTATTACTTGCAGGTATCTCAGAGCCTGTGAGTCACATGTGGCTAGGGTGAAAGGCCACACAGCCTTGCAGCTCTGTAGATATGTCAAAGTGCCTTCCGAGGGGCAGGGGGAGAGCGGGTACCCTCTCCAGCTCTCTGGTTGATCGGGCCCCAGTCTGGCCTGTGTCCTCTGGCCACTGGGCTGTCTACTCTTAGCAAAGAAAACTATGAGGCAGGGCCTGGCTGGAGAAAACAGGCTGCAAGGGGCATATCCTGGATGCCCACTTGTTCCCTACCCAAGGATCTAAGATTTGTTCTCATGCTGGGGGCTACAAACCACAGCAAGGATTTCCTTCATGCAAAGAAAGACAAACAACAAAAAACAGAAATGGCACAATCTCGACCTCATGAGGAATGAAAGTATGGCAGTATGCTGAAGTCACTGTGATTGCTGTGCTGGCTGGACTTGTGTCCACTAGACACAGCCAGAGTCCCCTGGGAAGAGGGACCTCGACCGAGAAAAGGCCTCCATTAGATTGGCCTGTAGGTAAGCCTGTGGTACATTTTCTTAATGATTGAGTGGAAGGGCTCAATTTGGGCTGCACCACTCCGGGGCAGGTGGGCCTGGGTGTAAAAAGAAAGCAGGCTGAGCAAGTCAGTAAGCAGCATTCTTTCATGGCTCCCCTTCAGTTCTTGCCTCCAGGTTCCTGCTGTGAGCCCCTGCCCTGGCTGCAAGCTTTAAGTGTCTTTCCTTCCCAGGGTGCCTTTGGTCAGGGTGTTCATCACAGTGACAAACCCTAAGACAATGGGTAAGGGTGAGTGTTCTCTGCCAGTCATCAAAAACGGAAGAGACGCTCAACGTTTACCCTGCTGTCCCCACCTCTAGCTGCAAAAGCCACAGCTGCTGAGCCTTCATTAGTAGGGTCTCCTCTGAGGATAAGAACTTAGTGGGTGGCCACAGCAGGTGCCACCCTGGGCTGTGACAATGAAGATGCAGTGCAGTCCCTGCCTACAAGGGCAGCTACCTGTCATGGGTGTTATGCTGGGAACAGTGCAGACATGGAAGCTGCACAGGGTGGACACAGAGCCCGCCCTCACCCCCACCTCCCACAGCTTTTAGGAACAGTGGGCCTCTCCACCCTGAGAGCCAACATGAGAATGTTAGCTGTCATCCACCATCCCCACACCTCTATCACTGTGTCTCTGTCTCTGATCACTCCCCTGAATGCTCACTAAGCCCTTGTCACCCTGACCACCTCAGTGGTTATTAGAACAAGCCAAGCACTGGCATACCACAGGACCTTTGCACATGCTGTTGGTCATGACCTGCTCCCAGGTACTGATGCAGAAGCCTTCTTAAATGCCATCTCCTTGAATGCCCTACAGGAAACAGCAGAAATGGGGTGATGCTTAGAGGCATCCCCTGGCACCTGATTGTATGTTCACTTGGCCCTCACCATGCTTTCTCCCAGATATACTATGAGCTTGGTGAGTGAGCTGTTCTGCTCAGCACTTATCCCCAGTGGACAAGACAGGGGCAGATTCAAGGTCTCAAACAAACCAGAGAACTGCCTTGGGGAATTCACATCCAGAAAGGACTCTTGGCCCTAAAGTTTTTGCTTCCAGAGGCTTCCTTCTTCAAACACAATCCTGCTAGGAAATCGTGAGAGAATGCTTCTTCTATGAGTATCAAAAACTTAAAGAAGAAAAACAAAGCAAACAAAAAACCCACATTTAGATCTCAGGCCTACTCAGAGCCCAAAGGCAGGAACAAAAGGCCAAAAGCTCAAAAAACGAACTCTTGGGTCCAGGAAACAAAAATCCTCCCCAGTGTCACTGACACCCCCAAGAGATGCAGTTGACTTGGGGACATCACCCATTACCCCGTCATTCTGCTCCTGGTCATTCTTCTTATCTTCTGTTTTACAGAAGAGCTTTTAAAGATAGCATCAGCCATTATTTTTAGAGACTCGTTCATCTGCGAGCCCCGAGTCCTGCGGGTGAATAAGGACGACATATATTAATTACATCCTTACACGGCACTCGATCACGGCTAGCTCTATGAGTTCGCTCTAACCAGAATAAAAAATTACTTTCCCCTTAGTTCCTTCTGAATTATAATCAGGTCTGCAGTCTGTCTCCCCCAGAGCCATGACAGTTACATTTTAATCATTTCCAAACAGAGTCCTGGCTATGTTGTCCCCTGGGGATGGAGATGCACCTTACTGAATTGGGTTCTAGTCAGTGGGGGCTGCGCAGGACAAAGCACCTCCACAAGATCCAGGCACAAAAGGAAAAACCCCAGCTTCATGACAAGGGTAATCTCTGTGCAGCAACTGAACAAGAAGATGTGAAATCTGCTCTGGCCAGCATGCTTAGGAAGGGCTGAGTGCGTTTGCTGGGTTTTTCTTCCCAATTGCAAAATGCATCATTCCAACACCAACTCTCTAACCTCAGTGTGACTCTCACTGCCCAGAGTCGGGCACCCCAGGTTAGGAGCTCAGTCATTGGTCATCAGTAAAAAGAACCACCCTTCAGGCCCCTTCTCTCCCAGAGATGACATTTGGATCCACTTAGCATTGTCCTCCATTGGAAGCAAACTGGGGCTCACCAATGCCCTCATTAGCAAGGACCCAGGTGTGACCCAGAGTGTGTGCTGCAAGGGAGACCTCACACTCAGGCAACTCGAGGGTTTCAGAGCTCTGTGCCAGGCCCTGAGGATAAGGATCAAATGGGCACTGAGCCCTGGGGACTGTCCCTATAAGAAAAGCACAGGATATTTTCTAATGGTTATTTTCTAATGGTTAATGACAAAGTATCTCAGTCATAAGTCTCCAACACACTGGCCATCCACAGGGAATCGGAGTTGATTCCAGCAGACACCAGAGGAAACAGCCGCAGAAAGAAACCAGTAGAGGACACTAGGCTGAGTCTTTGAGGGTCCTGAACCCACAAAATACACATCCATTTCTAAGGTGAGGCCCAGCTGGCCAGTGCACCCTCCTCACCAGAACTTGTCCCTCTCTGTGCCCATCATCAGATAATTGCCTTGGGTAAAGGCACTCCACTTTCGTGAGTTGGGATTGGACCTTCACCTCTGAATGGCCCAATATGCACGACAGATGCTCAAAATAGTTTTTAATGATTAACCTCATCCAATGTCTGCCCAACCAGAGCCAGGGACTTCAGACAAAAGGCAGAGGGCAGCTCACAACATTGCAAAGATGACAATCCCAAAGTAGTAGGGGACAGAGAAGGCCATCAAGACAACAGAGGGATAACACAGAGGATAGAGAGCAGAGAGGAAGAAACAAGGCCAGCCAGATATCCTCAGAAACTCAGCCCTGGTCCCAAAGACTGGGAGAGGCTGTGAAGGACAGACAGCCACAATGACATGTCCAGCAGGACAGGATGTCAGCCAGTCCAAGCTACACCGGGGAGGCAGGAGTGTGGCCCAGCAGTGGAGAGAGATCCTGGGTGCCCTCCCCAGCTCTAGGGGACAAATAACACAAAGCCTGTTTCTGGACAGCACCCCCACAGGGGACCACTAGAGGCTGGGTTGCTGATCTGTAGCACTGACATTCTGAAACCCTGAGACTCACACAGTGACATTGCATTGAGGTTCCGGAACCATCTGCATAGAGCTGCAATCACAAGCTCCCAGCCCTGCTCCTTCTCCCACAGCCCATTCCCTAGATCCTGATCCCAAGTATGTGTCCCCCAGCTAACTGTGCCTGTCACCAAGTGGGACCTTAAGGGCAACAACTTCCAGTGCAGTGGCTCTCAACCTTCCTAATGTTGGGATCCTTTAATAAAGTCCTTCGTGTTTGGTGACCCCCCCAACCATAAAACTATTTTGTTGCTACTTTATAAATGTAAAATGTTGTTCAACCCCAAAGGGGTTGCTAACTACTGTTCCAGTGGGTTCTGGTCAATTATCAAGCCTAAGGTATGCTGAGCTTGCCAGAGTGTCCTGGAAGAAATTGTCTCCTCTAAACATGCACCTATTCAGCACAGCAGCAACAAAGCCAGAGCACGTGGAACAGAGGAATAGAGGGAGGAGGCATGGAATGAACAGAGAAGACCCAAGGTACTCGCTCTTTAGTGATCCTGGGGACGAGCCAGGCACTAAGTCCAGTCCTAGCAGCAGCTGGGAGGCTGGTCATCCCACACTCATAGCACAAGGGTGATATTCAGGCCAGCTTCCAGGACAAAAAATAAAAATGAATAAGTAAATAAAAAGGAAATGTCCACAGTCCTCCAACATGAGCAAACTCCAACCTAACCACAGCTTCCCTCACAGCCCCATCCACCTGACCATCAGGGCTAGTCCACAGGAGCCATTGTGCCCACCTCCCACACCTGTCTGTCTCCCCTGTCTCTAGTGTTCACACTAGTTTTTGAAAATTCTAGTTCAAGACCAGCCTGCTGTGAGACGAGATCTCAGGCTGGGGTGCCTCGAGTCTAGTTTCAGTATGGACAGATGTAGGCCAATGGGATGGCTGTGGGACAGGGCATTTCAAGGACACAGCCACTGCCGCAGGTCTAGACCGACCCTGCCTGACCCATGTGGATGCTCAGCCACAGGGGAGATTTGCTTCCTGTGGCTGCTCTAGGGACTTCCACAACTCTGACAGCTTTCTGTGAATCCTCTGACATGCTGGAGTCAGGAAGCCCAGAACTGGTGTTACTGAGCTGAGGTCAAGTGTCAGGAGAGGGGAGCTGGCCATTCTGGAGGTGCTAAGGACCCTGCTTCTCGTTTTCTCCAGCTTCTAGATGCTCGCACAGACCTTGGCACACAGCTTTCCTTCCTCCAATCCAATAGCTAGAGCCTGGCTTCCCCCTTCCTTGACACCTCCATCTATAGCCTCCATGTAGCCCTGGCTGCCCTGGAACTCAATATGTAGACCAGACTGGCCTCAAATTCAGATCCACCTACCTCTGCCTCCCGAGTGCTGGGATTAAAGTACACCACCACTGTCCTGCAAGAAGGTTAATCTTAATTGTCAATTTCACACAATCGAGACTCAACTGAGAGGAGTGTCTACACTGGGTTGGCTTGTGGGCATGTCTGTGGGGGACCAGGCCCACTGTGGGCAGCACCAACCCCTACACCTACGGGGTCTCAAATAGGATAAGAGTGGAGAAAGTCACTGAGCACAACAGGCAGGCAAGTAAACATGCATGCAGTCACTCTCTGTTCTTACTGTGGATGTGACTAGCTGCTTCAAGTCCTTGCCACCTTGACATGCCCACAGTGTTATGCTGTAAGCCAGAACTGCAAGCTAAACTCCTACCCTACAAAAAAAAAAAAAAAAAAAAAAAAAAAAAAGAAAAGAAAAGAAAAGAAAAAAGAAAGAAAGAAAAAGAAATCACCCTCAGTCAGACTGGTGGTGCATACCTTTAATCCCAACATTCAGGAGGCAGAGGCAGGCAGGTCTGTCTGAGTTCTAGGCCAGCCTGGTCAACAGAGTTCCAGGACAGCCAGAGCTGCACAGGAGGACCTATCTCAAACTGTACCCCCCTCACCCCCCAACACACACACACACACACACACACACACACACACACACACACACACACACACACACAAAGACTCACCCTCTTCGGGTGCCATACCAGACATTTCCAGTTCATATTTCTAGAAGGGACAGCTGGCAAGCAGGGCTTGAGTCAGCCCTTATGAAAACTCAGTCACAAGGTTCCACACTGGCTTCCTGCTGTGGTGAAGGTGGGAAGGCCAATAGAGAGCCATCTATTTAAGGACACTGTCGCACACAGCATTCAATGCACCTAGGTCATACAAACCATGTCTGGGATCCCAGGCAGGACTCCATCTGCTTGCCTATCTCAGGTGGGCGAGTCCTACTGTGGCTTAGATCTGAGCAATCAAAGTCTCCAGCTGCACCTGGATAGGATCAGGCATGTGCTAGAGAAGGCCAAGCAGTTGTCCCTAGAAGTCACTGGGCCACGGCCCTACCCTCCTGCTACTGTGACCTTTGAGAACAACACCTTCAGCTTCCCCATCTAGCTGATATTCACACTACCACACATGCTCCCTGAATGTTCCGGTTGCACTTTGTTACCATGTTAAAACATTCTGAGGGGAGGAAGGGTTTATTGGCTTACACTCCCAGGTCAGCCCATCACTGAGGGAAGTCAGGACAGACACTCACACAGGAGCTTGAAGCAGAAACCATGGAGAAATACTACTTGCTGGATCACTCACAGGCTGGTGCTTAGCTAGCTTTCTTATATAATCTAGGACTGCCTGCCAAGGGAATGGTGCCACCCACAGTGGACTGTGCCCACTTATATCAATGAATAATCTAGACCATCTCTCATAGACATGCTTCAGGCCAAGACTGATCCAGTCAAGGCCTCAACTGAGACTCCCTTTTCAGGTGACTCCAGGCTGTGTCAAGTAGACTTTTAGATCTGACTAGTACACCAAGGCCCTTCTTCAGATGAGGCCATAGTGGGAGAAAACAACAGCTTGCTCCCCAAAACATCTTGAATCCAGACCCCCAAGAAGCTATAACAACTGGACCTGTATGCAGGGTGTATTGGTTTAAAACAGACCCTGCACAGTTCTTGTGAGCACCATGTGACAGCCCCACAAAGGCCTAGGGCTGTCCCAGCATGTGGAGCACCTAAAGGACCCATGTTCCATCCCGTTCCTCAGCCCACACTCCACTCCTCTGCACCCCTTTCTAATGTCACCTCAATGGCCTTTCAGGAGCCTGGAGGCTCAGTTCCTCCCTGTGACTACAGAAGCTCTGAGGCGCTGGAAGAAGGCGTGGAGTCAACAGGAATGGTCCAGTCACATTACACTATACCTCACCTTGATCAGCTCCTTGAACTTGGGGTCCTCTCTGGAGGTGGGATCAATCATGGTCCGCTCCTCATTCTCCTCTGCAAAGACAGAAAGGGCCAGAGTGAATGATAGCGATGCCAGGCGTGGAGGACTCCCAGTGAGTCTAAACCACACTGGCATAGGAAGAAAAAAGACAGTAGGTGGCACCTGCAGTGGCCTGGGAAGTGCCCTGCCAAAGCTAGATGGCTAATAGAGTTCTGAGCACCACTAGTTCCTGGATCCCTGTTTACCCACCTACCAGAGGCTGTGTGGGGCCAGTGCCATGGAAAACGTATGGGAACAGATGGGCAGGCAGCAGATATACAAAACAATATCTACAGGGAAGTATTGGAAATAGCAAAACCACGCAGAAGGATGAGGTTTTATGCATCTCCCCTGAGGGTTTGCCCTCCATGCTCTAGCCTAGATCTAACAGATAGCAAGAAGACAGCGGAGTTCACGGGGAGTGGAACAGGAAGGTGGAGAAGGGATGAAGACATGGGGGCTGGAACAGAAGAGACCAGGTCCCACAGATGCCAGGGTGCCATGTGTCCACTGACCACAGCAGTGAGCTAAGGGGAAGTCCAGCTTCCCAGGAAGAAAATAGCCCAGATACACCTGCTACAACAATCAGCTGCAGTAATAACAAGCATGCCCTTCCAGTCAGGAGGGAAGATCACAGACCAGTGGTCTCGGGTACCAGGCCATCTCTGGGCCATAGGTTGGGCTTCACCTGCTTCCTCCCTGAGACCCTGATGGCCTCATCAAGGAAAATCTGGATAGAAGGGATCTCCCTCTGAACCAAGGTTGGAAATAAGCAGTGTCCCATACCTGTCTCCCACGGGGACTTGCTGCCAAAACGCAAGGTCAAGAAAGGGCACTTTGACTGCCATTGACCTGCAAGGAGTCAGGAGCCTCCCCATCCACAGTTCCCACACAGTCAGCTGCAGGCCTAGCACACCTCTTCAAGGCAGCCATGGAGATATGTGGGGTGTCTGGAATGTGTACCTAGTTTCTGAATTTCTTTAGGCTTTGAGGCCTTAGGGCCCTCTCATCCCAGGGAGACTATCCTCCAGGGATGGTTGTCACCTAGCTTCCTCCTCTAGGGACTCATGAGGCTCCACACCCTGAACCAACACTCTCTGCCTCATCTCTCCTCCCCTAGGCCAGCTACCAGCTAACTCAAGCCAGTAAATTGTGCCTGGAGTTACATTATCCAGTCCTCTACTCAATAAACAAGTCAACTCCTCCTCTCTCTCCTCCACTGCTTGCCCAGCCCTGCTTGGCTCTGCTTGGCCACACTATGGATCTGTGACCATAACAAGCCACGTTCCCAATGCCAGGCATCTACACCTGGATGTCAATGAAATCTGCACTTGATGACGGGAGCAGAAACATGTTTTTCCCTAGAGACATCTCTGATAAGATACAGGATCCCAAACACCAACCACCCATGTGGGGTCCTACATCAGGAATGAGCAGCAAAGGAAGCCAAGTGGTCACAGTACCTAGCTGGGTGTCTTCAGGGTGGATGTCCACCAAAGCCGGGGCCATTGGGGAATTGATGGCGCTCTTGCCTTCTTCTTGTAAGTCAGTCACTGCAGAAAAGAGAGACCCAGTTAGTACACAGAGAGCCCAAGAGGAAAGTCACATGCTTCCAACATGTTGTTTACATGCATATCCCTTCATGGTGGGTGGTCCAGAGAAGCAAAGGAAAGCTGGGAGTCCACCACCTGAAGCTTCTCCCAGCCAGAACACCTGCCATTGTGCTTTGCATCAAGCAGTTCTTAATTCTTTCCAAGCCTGCTTGGAATATGTGGCTGAGACATGGAAGCTTCTGGCTACTTCTAGCTACTTCCAGAACCTGCCAGAGGCTGCTGTGGTAGACAAAGCTTAGACCCCCAACAAGGGCAGAGAACATAGTTGGAGCTGCCTTCCGTCTCATGCAGAGCTGTATCTGGGGTTGTAGACTCGAGGTGTGAGCAGGCCTGCTTGCACACACAGGTGGTCAGAATTAAAAGTGTGCCACATCCTTTGGGATGGAAGTCTGATGGAGGTGTAGTGAACTCTTACATTTTGTGCTGTCCTTGCATCTATTTTTAAACAGGTTAGAGTCTCAGACCAGAAGCCAGCTCAGCCTAGACATATGAGTCCTCCCTGCTGGGCCTAACCCTTCCAGATCTCTGCCCTGGGAACAGTTAACCTCCGAGAGGGCATCCACAAGCAGCCTGGATGTTCCCTCTCACCTCACTTCTCACTTGGACTAAGCAGAGAGTCGCAACAAACAGCCCTCACTTGCTGGTACTCAGGCCAGTAGGGAAATCTGCTTGGATGGTGTCCTGGACCCAGCAAGGCATGGCGCATGGCCCTCTTTCTCCTCACATGCTCCACTAATTCTGCATGTGGTAAGTCACTGAGTCTCTATTACTATCTCCATCTCTCCTGGCCCCTGAAGGGACATGCTTCCTCTGAAGATCTTAAATCTCTATACAAGGTAACAGGATCAGGATCAAGGCCAGGAGGAAAAACAACAGACTCCAAGGAAGTGAGCGAGCTTCCATGCTGGCAATGTGTGGGCCCTGAGACTGCAAGCTGTGCATAAGCTTGTATGCATGTAGGCTGGGAGTAAGGGATAGTTGCAGGGTTCAGACAGTGTGTACCACAGTCCTATGACACCACACAGGATCTTTCGTCTCCCCAGAGACCCTGATGGCCCTGGGTCAGGGCTGCAGGGTGGGGAGGAGAGGGACAGCTTGTACAGATGCAAGGCGTGACTTCTTCTGGAAGCTCTGCCACCACATCTGGAGCCCTGGGACTGGAAATGATGGCTTCCATACCACTGAACCTCAGAGTCCAGACTTCAGCCTCAAGATCCAGAGTTGATAGAGAGAGGTCCAGGCCCACGCCTGCAGCTTTTTACAGCCCTGAGTGGGAAGCACTGATCACTTACTAATCACACATTCTGTCTGAGGAGATCTCCAGAGTCAGGTGTCCCACCACTCCATCCTTCCTCTTCAGAACTTACACAATAATATGTCCTCTAAGCTCTGCCGAAATACTGTCACCTCAAAGCTTTAACACTGTACCTTTTGGTCACCTGGCACCCACAGAAGCAGATGAGGGGACAACACCATGTATGATACCACGTATAGTTCCAAGCCTGCTGGCTGGGAGACCCCACGCCAGTCCTGTTAACACTCGGACCTTGCTGCCTGTCCCTGCCGCAGGTAGCATTCCCCTCTTGTACTCTTAGGTCCCAGGCAGGCTGGAGTACAGATCCCCAGCTCAGAGCGGGACACACGGCAAGCTCTAGAGACATGGTTATGGTCCAACTCTGGGGACAAGCCACCCTCTGCCTCCGCAAAGGCAGACACCGGCTCTAACATCAGCAAAGATGCCAAGGGCCGACTTTTTGAAAAAGGAGACCCACTTGTAAACCCATGTTTGAGGACATGTTATTCACAATAGCCAAAAGGAGATAATAGTACAAATGTTCATAGATTTTAAAAAGGGGGGAGGAGGAGAAAATGAAGAAAAAAAAAAGGGGGGGGGGGGAATGTGATGGCTACACCTGCTGGGGATCCATAAATAAATATGACTAGGTCATGCATGGAAAGGCTCTAACCACTGAGACATCCCTCCAGCCCTATGAATCATTTCCTAACCCTCAAGTCCTCACTGTGACTCTGTGAGGAACACAGGCAACTATAAAAAACTTTCATGATCAGTGATCACAAAGGGGGATGGACTCCCCTGCCCCACCTCCCAAAGACACACAAAGATCCATCCTTGGACACCAGGCTAGCTTAGAAAACAGACCAAAATTCCAGAAAATATTTGCACTTCATAGTGAAATGGAAGGAGTCAGAAACAGGAAAAAAAGAAACTCCCCAGGGAAATGCAACACCACAGCAGCCCAGTGACCAGGGTTTCCCAAACCCCACCCAGCTAACACTTCAGAGAAAAGCACACAGGTCCCTGTGCCAAGGCCATGTGCAGTGATTAGTATGACAGTAGAACAATAGTAAAAGACAGTTTTGGTTGAGAATGAGAATGTCCAGAAAGGATCCAGCGAGTCACACGGGAGATCAGAAAGACCCCATGACATGGGACTCGAGAGATAGCTCAGTGGATAAAGTTCTGAGACAGCATGAAGATCCAAGTCCAGTCTTCAAATCACACATGAAAAAGCCAGTCACGGTGACCCATGTAGTCCCAATAGAGGAGGCAGAGACAGGTGCCAACTAGACTAACCTATCAGCCCCAGTCCCAGTGAGAGCCCCCCCTCCCCCCCATCTCAGAAAGGAAGATGGATGGCACCTGAGGCACTGTTCAAAGGGTGACCACTGATGTCCAACTGCACTTGCACATGCATGAACACACAAACACAAATGAAATTTAAAACAACAATAATAAAGACCTGAGAGCCACTACAAGCATCAGCCCCCTACCTAGACATGAGGCAGGAAGCTCAGGCCTGGGAAAGAGAGACCAGGATTGTGATCCTGATTTCCAAAATCTCAGAGCTGGGGTGTTGGGGGGGGGGAACTACACACAAAGAGAATGCCATTATCAAAGCCCAGAAACTGGGTCACATAAAACAGAAATTTCCACACTGCCTTGAACATCAAAAACAACACTAAACAGGGCCAGGGACTTTGTGACCTTCATAAACAAGAAGCACACAGGCAGAGCCTGCCAGGCTGCCATTCATATGCTCTCCCTGAGGTGGCCCTTCCTGTTCAAGGCCTTGCGGAAACACAGAATCAGAGCCCAGAAAGAGTGCTGTGAACTTGGCCAAACCTGCCAAGATCCAGCTCAAACCTCATTCTGTCACATACTTGTGGCATCAGGCAAGCCCCCTGCACCTCACTAAGTATCGGTTTCCCCTCTGAATCACAAGGGTGGGAAGAGTCCCTGCTCAGAGAGGTGTTCGGAGGGATGGAGGGGCCTGGGACACTCAGCACCTGGCTCAGGTTGCACACATAGGCATAAACTGGAGGGTTAGCTGTGACTGATGTTGGCTCAGGAGAGCTGGAAACTACCTGGAGGAGGCATCCAATGAACTAATCTTGAAAGAATGCCAGACTTAGGAGCAGCTTTGGGGACTACAATGGGTGGGGACCAGCCCAGGAGTCCACAGACACCAAGGGTAGAGGGATCCATTGCCCCAGCCTGAATCCTCCAGTTAATCACGCTGCATTGAACGTTTTCCCGTGTTAACCCAATGGGCAGCTACAGAAGGCCCACTAGTCTTCAGAGGACAGTTTTGGAGAGCCTGTGTCTTCCACTCCACCAGCAACCAGCCCAACAGGCTACTGGGTTTTAGTAAATCTCAGGAATGCTGAGATTTTTAAAGCTGTGGTCCAGAAGCCAAGAAGATACTTCAAAGATATGAGATGCCGCTGGCTGGGCACTAGCTGTGCTTAGTTCCAGACCTGGGGCAGGCTTGTGATGACACTGACTCATAGGAGCCTGCTGGCCTGGCTCTCCCCAGCATACTCACTATTTTGAGCTGAATGCCCTGTCCACAAGCACCCCAGCAGCCAAACTTGAAGTGTGGCTATCAGCATGATTCTTTTGGCCAGGATCCCTCTCAATGCTTATAGGGAGATACTGCTGAGGACCAAGAAGAGGAAAGGAGGGGTATGGAGGCCAGAGAAGAATGGAGCTGGAGGCCAGGAAAGGAGAGATGGAGTGACTGAGGCAACCCTCTTGTCTCCTCACTCCCTCTCCAAAGACTAAGTAAGGCTAAAAAAGCATTAAGTTAGATGCAGGAATGCACACCTTTAATCTTAGCATGGGGGACATGGAGGCAGAAGGACCAGCTCAAGACAATTTTCTGTCACATTGTGAGTTGGAAGCCAGCCTGGGCTAGATAAAACCTGGTCTCAAATTTTTCTTAACTAAAACTTAAAAGAAAAAAAATCTGGGGATAGGAGCACCTCTCTTGACTTAGTCTCCAAGGGAAGAGACAGCTTTAGAAGCTCTTCTACCCATCAATACACACACACACACACACACACAGCCATCACCAGGCACCTCCTAAGAGCCAGCTATTTATACTTCAGGCCAAGTGTCGGGCTCACAGCTTTGATTTTTTTTTTTTTTTATTCTTTTCTTTGTATGGCTCCATTTACTTATTTACTTATTTATACATACCCAGGCTCTTGAGAAAAAAAGACCCTTTTTTACAGCCATTTGTTTCCTTTTGACATTATTAGGAAAAGGAGGCTTTGAAAGTGGGCTGGTTGAAGACCCAGCCTCTGTCAAGGTGGAGGAGAAATGCAGGCATAAGCAGCCACTCTCAGCTGCTCAGCTCAAAACAGGGACACAGTTCATCTTCTAGAAAAGTGGGGTGCAAACCCCTCACAGTGAGAGGAGGGGTCTGAAGGGACACAGAGGCCTAAAGGAAGGGCTGGGGGGAGGAGGGGGCTGCAGGGGGAGCAATGGTGACCCTGTCTACTGACATCCACATAGCAGCCACATCACACTGCTCACAGGGACTTTCTGTACCATATATACACTTCCTGGTTTTCACAAAGAACAAAGGATCATGGCAGGGAAATCTCAGCAAACCCACTCTGAACCAGGATCA